GAGTGTGGGGATGGACGCCACCCCAGATGAGTGTGGTTGCGTGCGAGACCTGCATCTGGTGCCCTTTGCAGTAGCAACTAGAGGCTCCCGAGGGAGTGGAAAAGCGGATAAGCTTCGGCCTTATGCCAGGTCTGCGACACAACGACGAGGGCAGTTGTGTTTCTCCACCCGGGAGCCAGAGGCTGCCTGGCCGTCCACCACCATGCAAGGATGCAGCAACCGTCTGCCTGATGGCGCATTTGCTGCATTGGGAACGGCGTACGGGCTGGCGCAAGCGCTTGTATTCAAATCCAAATTTGCAAGTCGGCCTTTTGTTTGGTCTTTTCTTCGACCCGCGCGGGGAACACCCTTGCAGCCTAGCTGTCAGGGAGCGCAGTGTTCGTAGAAACACAACCAATGGCATACAAAACGTACGTGGTCTCTTATGCCTGTAGGACTATGTTGCAAAACTAGCAACAGAGATACGGATAAGACACACCAGTCTTTGCCCAGTTTTTTTATGCTGTCTCGTTGCTCCGCATTCAGCAAAGCAACAAGATCGAAAACGGAATTAGTTCGGATGCATATTGTGGGAACGGCTATTTTTCCATTGTTGTCTCATGCCGCGTGGCCTTGCGCATGGATCTGCCATTCATCCTGTGGCTGCGCCAAACTCTGCAGGACCCAGCCGATCCACAAAAGTCGCGGCCTTTTGAGGGCTGGTGGTGCCCAACGGCCAAGGTACACGCTGCGCCTGACGCACCAACCTGCACTGCCAGCGTCTTGGGCTTCTCATAGAGAGAGGACAGCAGCTTGGCGTTGAGAATGCGATTGAGGGTCTCATTCTTGATGGCGTACAGCTCCTTGACGGACAGGGTCTCCACGGAACGCAGCGGCTGGTTGCGGCGGTGGTACAAGTTAAAGTGGCGGCTTCGGAACATTTGGCCCATGTACTCTTCGATCTGCTGGCGCTTGTTCAACTTGGAGAAGGCGTCACCCAGCAACTCGATGACGCTGTCGTACAGATGCTCGAAGAACAGCCTGCAGCATGGTTGCATCGCATGAGGGGCTAGCAGATTGTTCTTCGAGGGGGTGGGCGGCGCCACTGGCACCGCACCTTCGCTGGGGAATGCATGTTAAATGGCGTTATCGTGATGCATTAGCAACACACGACTCCATTTCAGTCATTTGCCCTCTGAATCCTCAAACATGTTGTGACGCCGGGATCTCGTCTGCATGGGGCCAAGAAGATTATTGATGGAACTACAAGTAGTCATAGCAATTCAGAACTGTGCGTTTTGCAAATCAGAGCTGTGAGACGTTCAATACTGGCCCTGCCTTGCTTGAACTGCCCCTTCCCCCTGTCCTTTCCCTCCGCTGGTCCGTCCTACTGTTTCTGTCATATTTATCCAGCGCTGTGACACGTTATGACGAATGCCTATTTTGCAACTGCAAATGCAACCGCGAAGTAGGAATCAGAGGCGAAAAAGAACACCACGACACCAAGATGCTCATAGTGCATTTAATGCAAATACGTCTGGAGTCTACCTGTAAACGCTGTGTAAATTGTTGCCGCATTTGAGTGTCCACACTCTCCAGATTCTGGAGTCCAGAAGAAGCCGCTGCGTCGTGCCAGACAGCTATGGAGTTGATGCAGACAGCCGCAGGAATATTCTAGCGTGAAGCAGGTGACGCAGACGCTACAACGTCCAAAGCCTCTGGCAGAAATGGCTAGGGGCTGGGAATGCACAAAACTCGTACCAGCCGGGACTGTGGCACAGCAGCAAACATCAAGTACTGGACATGGCCATCCCTTCTGACCTGTCTTGGTGAGGTTTATTGTACGTTGCATGGCTCATGAGAATTTCAAAATACGCAGGACACATAGCTTGCTTATGTTCACATGCTTCATCCTCTAGCTCCTGTAAAGCACAACGCAGCCAACTTAATTGTGCACTAGCAATTGAATTGAGTGTTTCCACCATTGCTGAAACCAAACAAATGAACTCCTTCGGCCACAAGAAAGCCTGTGCCAGGTGCGCAAGCATAAGTTTCTTTCAAGGGTTACTCATTTAGGAGCTTCGCAGCCACAAATTTGTCCCTGAAATGATCATGCTTATGCCCACGATGTGGCTCGAAGCAAGAATGCTTGGCGCAAGGATAGTGAAAAAATCATCGACTGAAAATTTCTGCAGGGTGCAGGCAGCAGTCTGGATGAAGGAAAGCCATACATCGACGCTCATTGAACGCCGCTGGACCGGTTTGCTGTCAGCACTGCTGAAGGCAGCACCTTTGCCAGCTCAACATCAGGAAGGCATCACATGCGCAACTCCCGTACTTGAATCTTCATCGTAATCTTGCTTGGATTGCAGCCTTCCGACATGTGGTTCTGCCGCTTCACTCTCTCCAAGCTCTTCTGGAGGCACTCTATTTGGAATTTGGCCACGAAATACAGAATGCACGCTTGGGCCAGGTGGTCGTACGCTGGCGTCATGAAGAACCGCTTGAAGGCCTGAGGTGCCGTCTCGTTCATGATCTTCAATACCCGCGTTTTCGCCCCCACATAGCTGAAGCTGCGTAGAACACGCCAAAGATTGTGTGCAAATACTGTTTCGTCATGCGTTTGTGCTCAGCGTGCGCGCCCATCTGTCCGATACACATTCTGTGGGCCGTGACATGCGAGGCGCAGCTAGGGCATAAATCACGGCGCCAATCTACCCTCGGATGTCCCCTGCAAACTTCAAATTCCCCTGTTCATCTTCAATCACTTTTGTTCATTCTCAAAACTCTCTTCTGGACATTTCAGCCCCCACAGTTAACAAACAGCAATGACAAGAATCAAAACGATTTTTCTTGACGGAATGCAACGTCTGCACTGCCGTTACGTGGTTAAAAGGATGATGTGACTCGACTGGATAGGGCATGGCGCTTTGCTACGTGATGTTGGCGTCCAGCAGGTGCCCGCTGGTGGATACAAATATCAGTTACCCCACTGTGGCAACAGTGGTCACATGACTGACGATAGATGGGGTCTGAATTCTAAATTTGGACCGGCAGGAAGCATCATCATCATCACTATCTACAGAACAAGGCAATGAGGTAGCCGTCAGCTTCCTATTTTGCCTGAGCAAAGCAGAGTCGGTGCTTGGTTCATTGAAATCTAATGAGAAATACAAACTAAGTCTATGATTCTATGAACTCCCGATGCCTAGAAGCGATTATCGATGGTAATACATCAAACGAAGTGTCTTCGCAAGATGGCGAGCTGGAACTGAAGCAAAAAGGACTTTCGCATTGCGACATCGAAAAATACAAGAGTGGCTTCGACGGATGTTGTCGTAGGCTTTGCAGTAGAAGAGAAAATGGATCTCGTCTTCAGGAGCCAAGTGGCATAAAGGACACAATCGCCTTGAAAATTCTGGAATGGATTGTCTCGCTTGGTGTCGTTGTTTCTCGACTTCCAGAAAATGCATCCCACAACGAAATCGCAGGAAGAATGTCCTCAAGAAGATAGGTTGTAATGTTGATAGGAATCGTTCATATCGGTAGACTGGCTTGATGTGCAGTACCGCTAATGCATATTAATGCCATGAATGGCCACAATGCTTAGGCTTGGTATGAGCACGTTGGAGCTTTTCGGTCTCATTGCCGCTCGTTGATATCTGATTTGGGATAAGGATGACAGTTATCTTAGCATTTTGGAAAGGGGCAACAAGGCATTGCGACATCTAGCACATGCCAAGCGTGTTGTTCGGAGCAATTTGTTCTCAGTTGGATTACGAGGCAACGTTGTGTTTTCAGGCCATAAGTCTTGGAGGCCGTTCAGACACTGGCGGTTAGGGAAGGTATAATTGATCTGTCCCTGGCCACGATGCGTCATTGACCGCCAGCGTTTGCAAAATGGCTTCCCTCCGCTGCGGTTTTCGAATGATAGGCGTCAGCTGGAGTACTGGCAGTTTCACAGAGTGGGTGGCTGACGGCCATGGCTCATGGCCATCAGCCGCTGGCAGACACCTCGTGGCTTATGGTCGGCAATGGGACACTCCGATGCCAGAGTTGGGCTCTGAAGTGGTCGGGAGTTGCCCTGAGCCACCAGTGAGTGCGCCGCGCGATGAAAACTCAAATAGTTTGTATGTCGGACTACACCTTGTGGACAAGGTGTACCTCAAGTCGGAGGGTGAAAAGGTAGTCTTCCTTGGCATCATTTTCGGTCAGCGTCTGTCGGCTGCTGGCTTATGCCTTCCGCTTCACCGTGCGACCAGTCCGTTTGCAAACATCTGTTTCCGCAGGCAAGAATGGCATGCTGCACACCGGCGAGGAGTAAGTCTTTCTCCCTAGAGCGCACCAGCGCCGCCCCAAGGGGGCAGGCGACGGCGACGCAACATTCCACAGCTGCACGCTGCAAGGCACTGGCGATAATGAAGTTGCCTGCATGACATTGATTGCCAGCAACTGAAATCAAAGGTTCAGTACGTTTGGAGTATCTCAGCACAAATAGGTTTGCATCACGGCATAATCAGCCCCAAGAGCAGTGCCACAGGACGCTGGCTCCGAGATTTGAGCACACTGCAAGATTACGAACCCCAATTGACCAAGATTGCCTGCGCCCGGACAATAGGTTCACAAAGTACGGCTCGAGCTCGGAGGGGAACACTACGCGTTGCATAATGAAACAAGCAACGTCGTTCACTACCAACGCCATTGACCGTGGCAGCCAGGTCACTTTCCCTTGAGAAGTGCTAATGGGTCTGTAAGTTGTCCACCACGGAGCCTCATCGACAATGCTGCCTGCTCTTCCCTTCGCGCAACATGCCGAACATCCAAGCACTACTTTTTGCAGAGCTACTTTAGCATGGAGAATCTCCCGAATGCCTCGACTCCCTTTTCTCTGCTAGCCCCATCCCTACGCACATGTGGCACAGCCACACCTACGGTGTACAGGTGTGCACTTGGTGCTGGGTGGCAGAAGTGGGCCACTGAGCTGCCGCGTATTGACAAGGTGTTGTAGCAGGATTGGATGATCAAGAACAGCATTCGCAGCATGGCGTGCCTTCAGAGAATTTCGAGCCAAGTTCTGACAGTTTCAGGTGAGATTCTGCGTAGTCAGCAAAGAATGCGTCCTGATCCTCTGCGTACTTCTCAGCATATTGTCTGCACCACCGCAATTTTCCAGTCACCCACTGCAGATGTTTCTTGCAACACATGAATGTGTATCGTTGCTTGCAAACGTGGAGCAGGGAGTGAGGCGCACCAACCACTTCGAACTGTGTCAGTGATTTGCGACTCATTAACGGTGCAACACACTGCGCAGCTGCAGGAGGCCATTGCACGTGGGGCAATGCAGCATACCTGAAGCCCTCGTCTTCAAACAGGGCAGCGTCTGTTGGCAGGACAAGGAGCTCTTCATCCCTCTGCGCCTTGACTTCCTGTAGGCACACAAACATTGATGCTAAATGGATAGGAACGAGATTAGACAGCAGAGGAGCAAAACATAGAGTACTCGCGGCCTCAGTTGATATGACACATTTTCGCAGTTGTGAAATGCAAGCCCTGCACAAATGGCACCCCATCAGCTGCACCCCCGTTTCTAATTTGCACAACTTAGTAGACAAACTGAAGCCAAATGAGCAGTCATCATTTGCCCAATTGCACTGCATGCCACTCATAGCTTCAGACTCACCACAAAGTAGGAGTTGTCGAATTTCAGCCACTCTTGAGTCCAAGACGAGCCACCCTTGGTCCCCGGCCCATCCTTGGTGTACTTCGTTGACTCTTTGCCAAAGCCGGATCTGCTGGGATACGACCTGTTGACGGCAAGACGGTAGTGAGAGGTAGAGCAGCAGCACGCTGCACAATCACATGGCAGGGCAGCAAGTCTCCAGCCAGCAATTTTTGAATTGTGCGTACCGGCCAAACGTATGGGCTCCCGACAGCGCCACAATGTCCTTGTCGCTGAGGCCCATTCGGTAGAATACTTTCCGCAGGTGCTCAGCAGGGGTTGCGGAACCATCAGCAAAGGGACCGGCAGCGCCTGCAGCCAATAGCACACAGACTCTCAATCGAAGTTTGAGCAACAGAGAGTAGGGGGGAGACCATTTCTGATTGCGGTTTGGACAAGATTCTCCAGTATTTGGAGCGCTTTGCAATTGCCATTCCACTGTGAGCTAGGCAAGCAATGGGTAAGCGTATAGGTATTCTGCTGTCACAATCCAGAAAACCTATTTCGAAGCATTGAAATCATGATAGAGCAAAGGAACCACCAGACATCCAGGCAGGGACAAGCAGTGACTGTAGTTTGAGTTGGTGCCAGCATGTTGGTCAGACATCCATCGTGAAAAATGGTTTGAACACGTGTAGTGATCCACGACGGATGACCATACTCCACTTTGTTAATGGAAGTTGAGATAGCAGCGGGGACGAAATGAACTGGTGGTGAAAAGTAACCGTCAGTTTTCTATGCTGGAACAAGGCAGTTGCTTGCCCTGTGGCAGCAAACGAAATCGAAGCAGAAAACACACAAACCTGCACTTCTTGGCCACAAGGTAATGATTCAAATAAGCAATTCGCTTGGCAATTCAAGCGCCCATTTGCGAGGGGGTAAGTCGTTGGTCAGCAAGCTCGGAGACTGCTTGTGCATCGCAGTCCCAGGTATTGCCACGCCTTTTGCTTCCTTACCAGGCAGATTTCCCTCCGCTGGGCACTCCTCAGGACCAGTTGTGTCCACTCTTCCATATCTAATGGGTATCTTGGGACCCCCTGCCATCTGTAAGACAAGTGGGAATCAACTATCAGTTGTGCAACCATGGGGCAGGTATGCTGGCACCAGTGGCCTTGTCAATTTTGTTTCATTACAACAAGCTGAATGCGACAAATGTGACAGCTGTGACTGTGAGTGTCATCAGCTTGAAGGAGTACAACACTGCCATTCTTTGGCAAATGCGATCAAACGACTGACAGCTGTGGAACAGCAAATAAGACTGATGCACCTTTTCCTACCTCTATCGCCAGTGCAGAACCCATCTGCAACAGGTCAGCATAAGACACCTCAGGAAACTTCGTCTTAATGGGCTCAATGAGGGCGAGAGCACCGCAAAGTCCAGCATTTGCTGCATGGCTCATTTCTGGCTTGAAGCGAATAGATCCATTGGCACCTCCACATTGAGGCCAACTCGGGATGTCCTGAAGAATGACACAAAGCACATATGATATAACACATGAAACATGTTTGCTTTGTTGTTCACAAGCCCCTCAGCCAAGAAACCTGCCAGGGGTAAACTTCACACAGCCCACAATATGCAGAAGGGGTATTGGCAGTACAGTGCTGGCTGAAGAGAACATGGTTATGGTCAAGGCTGTGTTTTGGGATGGGCAGCGTACAGAGGTACAGAGGTACATGGCATCCACCATACAACATTCCACATGGGGGAAACCAGCTCCAGTGATTCAGTACAACAGTACAGTGGGTCGACTGCCATTGTGTGTGGGGAGTTTTAGTGGACCAGCACTATACTCAATGTACAACTTGATACATGGAGAATGACTTGGTGTCTTTGACATAGGTCGGACATTCCCAAACTTTGCTCATCTACCTATTAGAAACGGTTGATCACTTGGCATTGCACGTGCTTCTTTTGAGTTCTTCCAAAAACTCATTTTGCACGTCGTGAAAAAGCCCTGGCAAAGTCCCCGATGAGCTTGATAGCAGCCAGAGTGCGGCAGCACGCGCTTGTTGGACACAGTGTGCAGCAACACATGGTGCACACACGCACTGCAGCAAGCATGTTGCAACAGGCATCATGCAGAAGGTCCGCTTTGGAGTGATAGTTGCTTGCGCAACGCCCAGGAAACGCCAAAATGATTTGCCAAAAATGGCTTGAAACAAACAGGCAGCGAAGCGCCCAGTGGGAATTCTGTTGCATGACTGACATCCAGCAGCTTCATTTTATGGGTTGGGCAACGGTGAAATGCATTTCAATTCTGCCCTTTCAAGCACCCGCCCCAGCACGCCCCGTACTTTGGCCATGCCACGGCGCGCTATTACGGCATCCCCACCACATCTCATGACATCAGTCATCACCCGGAATGCATCCAAGCGACTTCTCGCACTGATCATTTCCGCTCGCGTCAGGATCGATCGGTTGTCATGTACCGTGACCGCACGTAGGCTCCACCAAAAGCGGAAAGTACGTTCCGCTTCCAGACTGTTCCGCGGCACGTTGACAGCAGTCAGCCTGGGTGCCGCGGGCCGCGTCCGCGCTGACGCCCACGGCCAGACGTTACCCACGGGAGGGCGAGTGCGGCGGCCGAGTTGGAGGTGGGCTCACCGGAAACAAGGCGACCACGCCCGAAACAGGTACGTGCTCCGTGACGGACTGAACATACCAAACTACGGTTTCGAATTTGTGCATCTCTTGAGACCCCCGTGTATGGGGCCATTGCGATCCCCGCCATGGGCTCGCTCATGCGCAGCGCACCTTGTTGTACGTGCCCGAGTCGTGCCACGCCGCCCGAACAAGGATGGGACCGCACGACTTTGCCTTGATCAGAGCGGCCATTTCGTCCTTGGCACCTTCTAGCTGGGGTGCCGTCGTTGCCATTGCTGGTCCCAAATCTCCCTGCGCTGCTTTGGCGCTGGCCCACGTTGCCTGCCGACGGTTTCGGCGCGCAGGTCCCAGTCGATGGCTTGCACAGAGGCAGAAAGGTGCGCGTTTTGCGGCAAAGGACTCGAGGAGGCGGCCTTAATAAGAGCGGATAGTCTGAATGGTGTAAGGGAATTGGCGAGTGACCCCACCGGCGCACCACTGGCCAGGTTCGCGTTGAGAGGGGGCACTGTGCAGCCCACCACGCAAAGGTACAGCACGTAAACCGCCCGGGGGTGTTGACTACAAGCGCAGCCCCCGTGGTCTCCCAAGCTTCCGCCCGGTTTCACACGATTTGATTGATGCCCGGTTCTCAACGTCAGAGGCAGCCAATCAATCGTTGCCCACTGCGCCAGGTCCTCGTGTTCAGAGCGCGTCGACGTGGCCTGAACAGGGAGACTTGACCTGGTGGGCAACGTACAGGAGCAGTCAACGTACTCCAGCCCTGTTGCTGGTTTTGCTGATGTGCTTGTCAGTGGGAACGTTGCCTTTTGGGGGCACGTCAATCGTGGACAGCTTGGACTGGCATGAACAGAGGTTTCATTGACCTTCCATCTACGATTTCACCTACCCACACGTTGTCCGTGACACCGCCATGTACCAAACCAAATGATGTCCTTCGTGTCAACAAAGGACGTGGGCGAAACCGGTTGCAAATTTGCACTGTGCACAGGTGGCTGACGTCTCAGAAACTTGGTGATTGCTTATTCATGAGCATGGGTTTCACCATGCAGTCATCCAGTAAGCAAGCCATGCTGCCAGCATTGCCTACTCCTCGCACATTCCACACATGACCGCAGTCCACTCTCACAGTGGGTTGAGAGTGGTGCAAAACAAGAGGTGGACGAGTCGTGTGCACAGCAAGCATCACCACCCCAGGGCCCAAGCGGTCCTGTCGAACCTTGGGGCCACAAACTCCATGGCCACCACTGTTCCATGTTGGATCTTACAGACATAACAGGAACAGGAAACCACAGGCACACAGCTACATGTAGGGCTCTATGCAAGGACAGTATACAGGACAGGGAACACGAGACTCTCTGGGTTGAAATTCAAGACTACCACAGTGGAAAGGTTGCCTATTCAATTGTTATGGCAATATTGTGATACACTGCCTTACGGCAGCAGTACTAACCATACCCCCCAGGAGGAGCTCTTCAGCTGCTGGAATAGCATAAAGGCCAGTGTTGAACAGGCGGCAGTGACCCACGTCCAGTTCAAAAGCATGCTATTGAATGGTTGTTGTCCAGGCCATGTCGATCGCCGCCCTTTCACCATCGGTAGATTGCATCTGCTGTATCCTCAATATGTTGTAGCAACCATCAAGGGATGCATGATTGCAAGCAGCATCACAAGAAGTTGCATTTGTTGTTGTTGCAACAGCGGCCATGGCGATGTCTTGATGGGATGGTACAAGTAGCGTACACGGGAGCCATACCCATGTGCTGAAGCAGTGTTGCCATTAACAGGGAAAAACTTTTAAACAAGAATGTGTATTCGTTACAAAGACTCCTGTGTGGAATCCCTCACTGCTGCTTCATAAATCCCAAATACTCACAACTGACACTCTTTCTCTGTTTTGGAACTTCTCACCAACCCGATTTTGAAAACTTGTCCCCCACTCGCATTAGTGTGTTCAAGTACTCCCACCGCTGGTCTGTGTCCATGATGTCCCATTTTTCTTCCTCAATGCACAGAGGAGACCACCCCAGAGCCTCCAACATCTGCCGGCGCCATACAACCTCACCCAGCAGCTGCTGTGGTCTGTTTTGAAAACACAGCGACTGAGAGTCGACCTCCAAAGCGAAGCGGCGGCCACTGCGACCAGAAACAGTGTGGGCCACGAAGAGGCCTCCTGCACAACATGTCGGGGAGAATCAACTAATTGTCAGTTTATCTTCTAACGCATGTAGGCCCTTCCCCAACTGTGCTGCAGTGCCTTCCTAATCTACACCAGTGCCTGATGCAAACAAGTGGGAGTCTCCACAAAGAGGGACTTTGTGAACCTTGTCACTGGCACTACAGAACTGCTGATTGGCTTTCATGGCCTTTGCTAAGGCACTGCAACACAACGCCTAAAGCAATGCATGCAAACATTCAACAGCCACACCATCTTAGACCGCCATTGCGAAAACTTTCAAGCTTACATGTGGTAAGCTTACAAGTGGTTTTAAGAGAATACAGAATAGGGATATTAGGAAACGAAGCGGATGGAGTCACCAATTTGAAGATTCAATGGCACTGGATTCAGGCAACAGTGGCAGTTTGTTGCCAATACGCTAAATGGGGATGCAGCTGCCTGTGTGCCCTGCCATGCAGAGAAGGTTTCGTACATATACCCACCTGCAACAATGTGGTGAGGGTTGCATTCAAAATTGTCCTCCTCTAGCACCCCAAACGCCTCCAACACAGCTGTGGGAACAGCCCTTTCCACTTCATATTTTCGCCAACAACGGTAACACTCTGCAGCAGGAGAGCCTGGAACTACTCGGGGAGTGTGCTCTGCTGCTTTCCTTACACGCATGTGAAGCAAGCAACGTCCCACATCGACTCTTAATCTGTGGCATCCCTCTGCAGGCAAATAACTTGCTGCCAGCAAACACTGATCCAGCATGTCATTGTCGAGTTTGTTCATAATTGCCAGCGCCCATGCCATCCTCACGAGATGAACAGAATTGACTTGATCTCTGAAATCTTTGACTCTCCTTGAGGTTGCAACGATCAGTTGGCTGCACTCATTTGCAGCACACAGTTGTGCAATGCACTCCAGCAGCGTTGCCAGGTCCCGAGGTGTAAATTCGTGGATCTTGTCCACTGATACTCGAGAGAGCCGGCGGATCGTTATTTCACCTGGGTGGTACTGTGAGCCAACCAAACCCTCCAGCGCTTGAACAAAGCCTTCTATCCTGAAATTCTTGACGTTGCTGTCAAGCTCCACAGAGAGTGCTGATAAGAAGTCACGACAATCCTTGAATCCCAGTTGGCTGAGCCCATAAGCAAGCCTGGAGAGGTCCTGCGTACTGAATTCGTCAATCCGGGCTTCAGCTTCGTCGATGATGTCCCTCAATGCATCCTCACACCCTTGTGCTTCCAGCTGTGCAAGTGCCCACACCACAGCTGACATTTGTCCTGAGGCACACCGTGCACAACAAATCGGCAACAGCAGACAACTGTTGGAATAGGCTGGGCATACTCAACACCCCTACAATTCACAACCCACCAAACTCTGAGGAGCTTGCGTGCACTACTCCATACAATGTCGCCAATTGGCAAGGTACACCCCTGAAGCATTCTTCACAATCTCTGGTTACTGCACCCTTAAAGTTAGAAAGCCAAACCCACTCTCTGTGCAATGGAAGGAGACGAGTCCATGGTAAGCATGGAGCCAGAAATCGCACAAGCAATTTCAAACACCTGCACCAGTTGCACCTGCAGTCACTGCTGGCAAATCAGCAGCAAATTTCTGTGCCAGGGTAGTTATGAGTTGTGGACTGACAGGCGAGCCTACTGCAGCAAAGCCACATATTATTGACTTGCATGCATGAGCATCCACGTCTTGGTCCACTGGCCAGCTGTCAATGGCGTTACTTGCTGTCACACACAATGTCAGTTTGTCTGTGCAGCCAAGTTGGCCAAGCCCCTCCAGTGCAATTCCCTGCACACAGCATGCAATAGATTCAGACATTAGCTTGGCAAACGTCCTGCTCCACACCACAATTTCTGACAGTGCAAGAGATGCAACGAGAAGGACAGTGAGCAAGAAAGGATAAGAACATTTTTGGTGTGATGAGGAGCACAACAACAGTTGCTCGCACAAGAGGAGTCACAACTGTCACAGAGAAGGTTGCGATGAAGACACCACAGCCTTCTGCATGGCAAGGGAGAGGGGCATGCAACCAGTGGGGTTGCACTGCACATGCTCTTGCAGTCTGTCACTTTAGGGCAGCAGTGCTACTAGTTTTGCAGCTGATCAGTCGTCCAGTGGAGAGATACATAGACAACCAAGTGATGGCTGCTTGTTGGCAAACAGTGGGAGAGAAAATGTCTCTTTGCAACCTGTGTGATGCATCACACAGCCTTACCATCCTCTACCCAGGCCATAGTGTACATTGCTTTTCCTGTGGTGGGGACCGTATGGTACACAAAAGGGTGACAGTATCCAAACCAAGCAGTTTACTCACTGCAATGGATCACTGCAAGTATTTCATCCATTGCAACTGACAGCCTCCCTTCAACAACCAGCTCCATCATCAGCACGCAGGTTACCGCACCAGGTCTTTGGGTGAAAATGTCATCATTTTCCGAATTGCCCTGGAGGACATTGCATCAACAAAATCTTGGATGTTTGATACTCTCAACCGGCCCAAGCTCCATGCCACGATCGCAATATGCCCTGCATCAAGTTCACGAACTCGGGCTGTGCCTTTCTTCAGCAAGGCATTGACGACATCCCCAATAGGTAGGGTTGTGTCAGTTGCCTGCAGACCAAGTTTGCCAAGGGCCCACAAAACATCGCCAAATCCACCAGCTGAGACTCCATCAGCCAAATTTATGAGCTTCTGCATAAGGGGCTGCATCACGTCGTCTTGGGCGGCAACCCATTCCTGGAAAAGGAAAAGCATGTCACGAGTGCCAACATCAGATACAGTTCCAAGATGAAGAGAACTGGAACCTCCAAAGTAGTTGGTGCAAGGTTGCTGCAACCCATGGCGCTACTCGGCGGCCATAGGCAAACTTTACAGAGGGCCAAGAGAGGTTCGGAATTGCATAGGACAAAAATAAGCAGCCTTCCCCTGAGATTTTGGCATCTTTCGGCAACATTACATTTCCCAAATTTTTAGATTCAGTCTTGAATCTGATAGTCTGATCACCAGATCCACGGTGTGCGGAATCTTCTCAACACACCTCCGCTTCCGCCGCTGCGGCCACCGTCGCGATCCTGTGTGCGAGAACGGCAATGCTCCTCGAAGAGAACCTGTGGTCCTTCAACAACGACTTGTACACGTCGAGCGCCTCAGACAGCGCTGCGTTCCGCTCCGAGCGGGTCCTCGGCACGCCTTGCTGGAACCGCTGCTTGGCCCTCTCTTCGGCCTCAGCCGCCACCTCGACAATGCGCTTCGTAAGCTTCTTGTCGGCGCCCGCATCATCGCTCGCCAATGCCTTGGCCGCCTTGGAGGGCGAGACCTTGGCAGACGGAGTCGTCAGCTCACCCGCATCCTCCAAAATGATCTGACGCCGGCTACCCTCTGCTTGCGGCCACCGAACGCCTTCTCCTTTTTCGGATGCGGCCGCGCGCCGCCCCATGCGCCGTATCTGGCATGGGTCGTGGACGCCACCCGCCCCATCCGCGGCATCCAGTCGATGCACGCCGACGCCGTCGACGGCCGGCAGTCCAGGCGCAGGCAGGAAGGAGCACAGTTCCCGGCAGCCTCCAGGGACGGTCGCCTTGGGCAGCGGCAGGAGCTCGCGGTATATATCCAATGCCCACGACACTCGACGCCAAACGCGCGCCATTTGGAGCTGCTTGCTGACCGAATCGGGTCGCTTTCTACTCATTCTGGCACCAATCCTTGACAGACACGTGCCGACGACGCGCAAAAAGTACTGCAAAATGGGTGTGTCAACTCTGCTTGCCAGCACCAGGATGGCTCCCCTGACTGCAGGGGCTCCTGCGCCCATCCACTGCGCACATCTTGTGGAATAGCTGACAAAGCTGGACACACTATCATCCGCGCAGGAGTCCCTGCAGTCAGCCCAGTCAGGCGAGTCAGGCGAGCCATCCTGGTGCTGGCAAGCAGAGTTGACACACACCCATTTTGCAGTACTTTGTGCGCGTCGTCGGCACGTGTCTGCCAAGGATTGGTGCCAGCTGGACATACTATCATCCGGTCTTCTGCGAATTTCCGATAGTAATTCTGTTTTGGTGGCTGGGTTGGTCCTTGAAGTTTGGACACTTTGGTAACTCGCTGGACAGTAGATTTTGACACTCGAGGGACAAACGGTGTACTTTTTCTGTGCTGTCCCAGGGCTCCCCCCATTACTCCCGTCTTGTGTGAGGAAAGGGGGGATCTTTGCCCTGCATGCATGTAATTGCCATCTTGACTATCATCCCGTGTACCACCAGGCGGCGTCGAATCGGTTGCCTGTGGAGTATGGCGCGATTTCGTTGATGCCATCTCGGCAGCAATGCGCCAAACTGGCTGTTCAATCCTTTGTCACGCATTCCGGACTGGCCGAACGGTGGGGAGGATGCAACGATTTCGTCCTGTGGCAGAACACCTACTGAACAACAGTAGAGTGTAACAAACAATTTTTGCAAGACATGTCCACAAATTCAAGCCATGTCCATGCGGTGGAGCTCCTGCCTTTCAGTGGCACTGACTGACCTGCACCATGACTGCGAGGATAGAAAGTTACCATGGCTCAAGTTGAGGCAAAAGAGTAGAAATGGCATGGAAGGCCATGCAATTGTAATTGGTTAAAATGTGCAGGACAACAGGGAAATGACCACAGACAAACGAGGACGGAAAGGAAACCAAATGGAAACTTCAGAGAACCTCAAGCAAACATCGATAATCTGACAAGCTACAATCTGATTCATGGTGTGGCAAAACAGCTAGGAAGGTGATGAAACATGTGTGCACACCGCACTTCGATGTTGACAACAAATCTCACAAAATTGAGACTTTCGACAGCTGCACACTCTAGATCGATCAGACACTTAGACACAACGAATTTCCATGAATTGGGGCAGCGTTGGATTAGACACGATGACGACAAACAATATTCCAACAAGCCAGCAGATGGCAAGGGATTCATTGCAATTGCTGCGTATTCTGACTGCGTTGAATGCACATTTAGGACCATTCAGGAATGACAGCATGGTTCTCAGCTCAAGTTCACAGGGAAAACGTCACCGAATGCCAAGAGCATGTCATGCTGTACGCTATATAGCATGTATAGCATGCAGGCTGCAATACAGACTGCATTGCCAAGTGGCATCTTGTTCAATACGCTGTCTGCAAATGTTGGAAAAACGTTAGGAATCACCCCGAGGCTGCCAGTGGAGTGCCACCTTCCGCAAATTCAGCAAAATTTTCAATCCGACATCATCCGTAGCATCAAAGAAGAATGTTTCCAACAAGGTACAGGCAGAGTGTACAGGAGCACTTCCTTTCAATGCAACGTTCGGGCACCTTCTCTTGTACAGATACTCAGATATGTTGGGTACACAGCCAGGGACCATCACACAGATGGAGCACGCCACAAGATTCACAAGACACAGTACTCAGCACCTGGTGTCTCTTGAAGCCCTTGAGAACGAAGACTGTGGCGAGTTACAGATAGTATCATTCCCAGGTATCTTGGACAGAGGCTGGAGGTTGGGTTCCCATGTGCGAATTGGTCCGATGGATTGGCTCTTTCGGACACATAGGAATGCGCCGCATGCATCACACAAACAAGGTAGCTCAACAGTTGTCCATTCCTTACAGCTATATGTCTACAAAAGTAGGATGGCCTGTGGGCAGCCGTCAGGCCCTGTTCATTGGAATAGGAACTAGAATATCTATGCACATGAAATCTAATCGTCATGAACAGAATCTTGAATCGCTATAAAGGCCTGCTCAAGGTCCTGACTGGTAGGTTTTGCCTCTTCAGTTCCTGCACTGCGTTTTTCTGCTCGAAGCTTGGTGAAATAATTCTTCCAATGAGCTGTGCTCCTGCAGACACAACATAAGGATGCCAGCTTAGTAGCTGTCACTACACCATGCTTCGGGGCGCACAGGAACGAGCAAACGCTGAAATCTGGCTTGATGGCCAGCAAAAGGCCGAGACACCCTGCTATGATTGTCTCTTTGGCAGGCAGCGCTGTCAGACAGCATCCTATTTGTATTAGCAAGCGCGTGGGCAAGGTCAAGCGTACATTCCAACAATCTAATACCCACTGACATTTCCTTGATCCACTAATCACTCTGGCCATGCACAACAGCAAGGGCGATCTGTGGCCCAACAAATGGAGAGTCGGATGGCAGCCATGATATCAGTTCGAAACTGTGAAGCGAGCAGTTATTCCATCATTGGCTACTGCGGCTCTTCACCTTGTAATAAAGTAATTAGCACTGTGTGAGCCGGTACTATGCAAAAATAGAAGGTGTGACCCGTAGCAAAATGTATGAAGCAATACTACTGTACAAAACAGAAGAAACTAGTGCATTATGAGCACAGTAGATCACAGAGACCCCCCCCCGTTCCACATCAAGACTGGCGTCAGGAATGCGAGGGGCGCTATCTCGCATGCTACCGCGCTATCTTCCGTGGCCCCCGCGTTCCTCATCAGGTCGCTGACTCAGTAGCGCCCCACCCACCCACCCCAACCCCACACCCCGTTATCACAGTGGCCCGCGTACCGGCAGCAAAACATACCGGCGCCCCACCAACTTAGCACAATATGTATAGCACCATACACGGCAGCAATCAAAACCGTGATGGGGCGCCACAGGTCGCTGCATTATGCCGCGCCAACCACGTTACCAAATACGCAAAGCGAACGGGCGCCTGGCCAATGTAGCATATTACATAACAATACATGACAGTACAGAAAGCGCCAATCACAGCGCCAACCAATAACAGCTATTGGGACGTCGCACTGTACTGGAGACAGCCTGGAGATCCCGATGACCTTGGTTTGTGTGATGATACATTGAGCTGGACACTGAGAATCTTGAGGACATGCTGTTTGATTCAAGGAGGAATATCATGGCAATGTTTAGTTGGAGTGGACTTGATAATATTGGGATGATATCATATGCAATGAGATGTAAGAGTGCGTGAAACTGCTTTTGCATTGTGGCTGTATGCGATGTTGAAGTGAATATTGCCCCTTCTGCACTATCTTGCGTACCCCTCGTGCTCCGCAACACCGACAATGTTTGATAACACTGTGGGCGTTATCTAAAGGCCCCCGCACTATTCAACACCCCCCGTGCTATCCTCCGTGATCTAAGGGTACTGGTTAACAGGCTAGGCTGGCAAGCGATTGTGGATTGTGGATCTGTGACTACCTGAACCTCACATTCTATGCCCTAGTCGCTGCAGCTATCTATATCTTGACCTACGCTTATGGAGAGACCTGGTTTTGGAGGGATGCAGAAAACCAATCTGTCAGCCTGCAGTGTAAAATAAGGTACTGATGATAGCACCTGAACATAAACTGTGAAGCTGAGTAACAAGGTCTCACAGTCCACAATAATCCTCAAGCCTCTCAATCTTCACTACATACAAAGGTTTCAGTTGCAATGCTGCAATTAACTAAGAAGCAAAGGAATTCAAAAGAGCAGAAGAGGAGATCAGTGCCCGGTGATTTGAGATGCAACCCGTTTGAGACAAGGGTGATGCTTCAAGACTCTACAATCGGCAGTTCATCATTGACTGCTGCAGGCCTGCATCTTTGCCAATTGCCACAATGAGGTTGCAGACATGCACAGCGTGCAATGAGGCCAGAAAAAACTCACAGCAATCGTTCCACTCAAGGGCTGGATTGAATGATGAGATTTGTGGTGGTGATTGCCTGCATTTAGAGGCCAGGCAGCAAACATGGTACTGAACAACTGAACATGGTACAGAACAACCACAACACATTTTATAGCCCGCATGGGAACACCAGAATGAGCAAAGCCAAGACAAACCCGATCAGATCTATGTCAACAGGCCTGCCTGCGCTTGGAGCTGTGGATTGGCCAATCTTTTCCTCAACAGAGCTGCTGGAGAGACTGCTACATCACTGGTCAACAGCACAGGCCTGAACCAAATCGAGACTCCTTGCCTAGAAGAAATTAGTGTTATGGGAATGCTTTAATGACAGAGGCCATTATTACGCAACCAATTACTGTGCAGATACCTATGAGATGTTTGCTTGGGTGAAACGTGCACACACACGTCCTCTTGCACACAACAACCACAGCATGTGACATCCTTGCACGGGAATGGCCTTTATTGCATAGAGCAAGCTGGTGATCAACTAATCATGGTTCACTGTGCACCATTTTGAACCGCCTGCAGCAATAGGGCATGAGCCTACTGGAAGGGAAAACCTACATGCCACTTGGACGTGGTTGGGCTCCCACATTTTCGTCACCACATCGTTTGCAGGTCACAGACGAGTTTCGTTGTTTCTTGTCGTCCTTGGAGCCACCACCACTCCTGAAGGTCGTAGTGCCACTTCTGCATTCCTTAGGAGACCTTGATCTAGATCTCCTTCTGTCCTTGGACCGCTTTTCCCTCCGGGGGACAAAAGCGTCTTTCCTATGCTCCTCTGGAGACTGTGGCCGTGTTCTAATGCTGTCCCTCATACGATTACCCCTTCTAATCATTAAAGAATCACTCCTGGGTTCTTTAGGAGACCTTGATGGGGACTGACGTCTGCTGCCCTGCGGTTGTGGAAACCGAAACCCCTCATCATCAGAAGAGGAATCCATCGCATCGTTCTTCCAACCTCGATTCCCTTGAGCACTCCATGTCTCCAACTTTTTGTTTGGCATTGTTTCCCATGGTGTGGCTCCCAATCTGCTATCATCTCCATTTGATGTGGATGGCTTTGCTTGTCTTTGCGCCCACCATTTTGGCACCTGTTTTCCTGCCAGCGAACTTGTTCGGGGCCAGCATCCTTTGCCCTCAGGATCTCTAGACTTTGGTTGAAGACAGCTCTTGACAGCCCCAGTGAGTGAGCCTTGAAGCTGCCCCTTTTGCCCCCCTGATCCTTTCTCAGACTGCCCGTCAATGCGGTCACAGGGAAATTTCAGAGCTTCTTCCCTCTGATCACCCACCAGCTCCCCTTCCTGGCTGCCAGGGAACTGTGCCAACACCTGCATGGATTCTTGCTGCGCTTCTGTAGATTCCCTCAGCTTAGGCTTGTATTTTTCTTCAGAATCCATGCACACCTCAACGCGAGCACCATCACCCAGCGGCATTTCAGAGCAATCCTGATGGGGCACAGATTGGATGGAAGGTGAGCCACAACATGTGTCCTGGAGGCTGTCAGGGTGAGCACTGCTTCTGGCACCCTGATATGTTTTCCTAAGCACCAGATGTGGCACCGACAAACCCCATCCCATCTTCTGCAACTCCTGCAACCTACTGCCTTCATTTGAAAATGATGACTGAGGTATGTCACTGAGCTTTCCTGCGTTGCTCTGTACTTCAACTTTTTGTGCCTGCAGCTTTTGCTTCTGTGTGTCTTGCTGTCCATGCTCAACTGGTCCCCACTTCACTTCACTGGCAGGTGCACCTTCGCCAAAGCCCCAGGAATTTGGCACCAGATTTGATGGCAGGCTGCTGCAGCTGTTCTGGGGAAGCGAACGCAAATGAGGAGGTAGATGGCACTGTTGTTCCCTGGCGGACTGGCCCTCTTCAGCCACTGGCATAGACACTTCCTTTGAGACAGGCAGCGCTTGGGGGATCACCAAACCATCCATGCTTGACTTCAAAGGTTTGAGCTGCGTGTGGGGAGTCTCTTTGCCATCCTCAACTTTAACTAACATGTCACCAACGCCTTGATCGCCCACTGAAGAATCCTCCACCCTGCCCACCACACCATCGACTGTTGGCTCTTCCTTGACAGGAATGCCTGCACAGAAGTGCACTCCAGGTGTGAAGGGGCAATTGCACCCGCCCGAGACATTGGGACGGGGCAGGTCATGGTCAATGTAGAAAGGCAGCTTCTCTTCAGGACAGCTCCTGGCATCTCCTGGGGGGGTCACGGGTGATTCGGGCAAAACTAGCCCCTTGCTGCTCTCCCCCTCTTGAGCAGTCTCAAGCCCTTGAACACGCAGTGAGAGAGGCAAACCAGGCAGTATGCCCTCAATAAGTTCACTGACTTTATTTTTTTCGGCAGCCTGTCGGAGAAATGCTGCCACACAACTCCCCTCTGCCACATTTTGCAAGGCAACTGCCCCTTCGTTTTGCTGTACATCTGGGACACTGCAGCCACTCATGGACCCTCTTCTTTCACTGTGCAATGTCACACATTGTGGCTTCTCTTCTCTGCACCCATCCCCTGCATTGGAGACACTGCAACTTTGCTGCACAACATGGGCATTGTCACACCTGGTGCTTGCCATTTTGGCCCCATGAATCTCCCGTTGGCAACTAAAATCACCCAGCTTAACCAGCTTTCTTCCCTTTGCAACGGGAATTTCCAGCTGTCGTTTTTCATGCACACGTGTCAAAGCTGCATCACTGGATGAGCCAGTTGCATGTTGCTTTGCTTGCTCCAAGCTGCAGCCTTGTGGTGAATTGCAGATGGCATGGTGCATTGGATCCTGCATGCACATTAGGAATGTCAATGATTGTAAACATGAATTGGATGCAGCCACAGACTTGCAGATTACTGCAAACAACTTGGATGAGCATGCAACACCACAATGTTATGATGATAAAGATTGTGATAATCGTTGCGCGTTTCCCATGCATTTCAAACCAGTGGATCAGGTCATTTTGGTCTGTCAAAATTGTTGTTGCCTAGAACTTGGGACCTTGAAAACAGTGGCTACATTGGCCTGGCAACATTACAGACACAACTGAACATAACGTCCCAAAATTGCTGAAAATTGCACAACAACTGGCACTACACACTGAGGCTGACCTGGTTTCACTAAACGTCTATGGGCAAAGCAGGAGTCTGTGAGCATGGTTGAACGCTCCTGATGGTACAGAAAGGCTGAACCAAGAGCACCTGTCATTTTCGACCTCGTTGTTGAACAGTATTAAAAGTGCAAGGACCAATCATCTACCTCACCAGCCCAAACTTAACTCCTGCTCAGGGGGGGCTAACTCACATGCTTTAACAACAGATGTTCAACATTTGGCCTGCCATTCATCAGACAATTCTATGGTTAACAAAGAGCCAGTTTGCAGCGCGGCTTCCACAAGCACTGCATTGCAAGACAGTCATAGTCAAGCGATACAACTTGTATGGTGTTTGCATCAACTGTTTTGCAGCCGCATGCATGCTTACAATGCCTACCTGGATTTCACCCACAGCAACAGCACCAGGACAATCCTGTCTGCTGGGAGTGCTTGTTGTGTGTGGGCAATGTCCACCACTGCTGCTAGCCTTTGTCCCACAACCCACATCATGGGGAGGCAACAGTGGATAAGACTCAGCCTCCAGGAGATGTTGTGGGACTGCCTTTTCTGGTGCTGCGATTGAAGGCATGCCACTTCCGTCCTTGCGATTCCCACCAACACCTGATGTGCTTGGACACTCCTGGGAGCTTGATTTGCTGCCTGAATCATGTCCGCATGTTGCTGGCTTGATTTCATTCTGCTGTATTTGGGGGGATCCACGGTGATGCCGTCGTCCTTTGTTGCCACCTGTTTTTCCACCTTTACTGCCATTCGTCTTTCCACCCCCTTTCCCACTTCCTCTGCTTGCCTCCACCTTGCCAGATCTGGATTGTTGTCTTCCTGGTTTTGCATGTCCAGTATCAAGTTGCTGCAGCACACCCTGCAACCAAACAATTTTGGTTGATTGACATCGAACACATAAAATCGATAGCATTGGCCAACCTCCTGCCGAATTTCAAGTCGCCTTGCAATAATTCTTCAACTCACCTGCTGCTGTGGCTGTGGCTGTGGCTGCTGCTGCTGCTGTGGCTGTGGCTGCTGCTGCTGCTGTGGCTGTGGCTGCTGCCGCTGCTGTGGCTGTGGCTGCTGCTGCTGTGGCTGTGGCTGCTGCCGCTGCTGCGGCTGTGGCTGCTGCCGCTGCTGTGGCTGTGGCTGCTGCCGCTGCTGTGGCTGTGGCTGCTGCCGCTGCTGTGGCTGTGGCTGCTGCCGCTGCTGTGGCTGTGGCTGCTGCTGCTGCTGTGGCTGTGGCTGCTGCTGCTGCTGTGGCTGTGGCTGCTGCTGCTGCTGTGGCTGTGGCTGCTGCTGCTGCTGTGGCTGTGGCTGCTGCTGCTGCTGCTGCTTTGGTTGGGAGCATTGGAGCTTTTTGAACAAACTATGCCTTTCTTCTCTTGGCAAGGCCTGCAGAGCGCAAACCAGTACTTCAGTCATAAGTTGGCATCGCCACCCATTGACATTCTGTTCTTTGAATGTGCGGGCACTGAGCGATTTTTTCACAATTCCAACCCCATTTCTGCGGGCGTTGTGCATGATAGTGGTTTCAGACGCAATGACACTGCAACAGGATCACTACCTGTTTGCGTGCAGCAGTACAGAAATACATGCATAAGCAAAAGAAGAACACAAAACCAAACAGAGTACAAAACCAACTCGCATTTAATGCCCTCTGCATTCTGCATCACATTCATCAAGACCCCCAAAGCGAAGCACAGGCAGGGATTTCTCACCACACTAACTATGTGCAACAACCAGTGCACCAATGGCAAACAATTTTCCAAGTCTGCTCCTACTGGTGTGATAATGTTAATGTGACAGAATTGTCAAAGGTACAGCTCCACCAGTAGTGCTTGTGTGCGCTTTTCATGCCAGCCACAAACATGAGCACCAAATGGGGCAATGCACACCCAAGAGCTTCTTCCATTGCTCTCGCTTGCCTGCAGTTCTGTTGCACGCTTCACTGCAATAACCAATGGCAGTGATTGCTTGGGCTCAACAAGAAGGTACGAACACTAGGACAGGCGATTCAGCAATTTTCGCAGAGGGGAAGAGAACACAATAAATGTAAGGTATTTGAGACGTTGACATCAAGCTCAATGACGTTAAGCTTTGCACAGCACCAAGTGAAGAAACGAAATTACCTCAAGTGAGAAATAGTGCAAGGGTGTATCCACAAGGCAAAGAAACGAGCGTTGAACCCCAGGCTCATAATTGTCGAATGTCATTGGCTGAGATGCTCACCTCCATTCCTTGAAGATATTGGATGAACTCACTTATCCAGCTGTCATATTCTTGTGGGGTTTGCACCATTGACAGCATGCTCTTCTTGAGTTCCCAAGCCTCCTTGAAGTCGTCAGCCACAAGTGGGTCCCCATCGCGGTCGTCCAATTTTCCGTATTCACGATAAAGCCCTTTCTCTCCAGGCAAATTATTTGCAAAAAGGCGCCCTTTGGTATAGTAATCTGAATCCATGAGGGCGTTATCATTCCCACTTATCTTGATGATCTACATCCACTCGTTTGCACCAGTCTCGTCCAGCTGTTCAGGCCCTGCTGCTGGAGGTACTACTTCTGTACAGTCTCAGCACAAAGCTGTTAGCCACACATGTCGCTCAACACAAGCCCGTCCCACCCACGTTTTCAGTCACAACTCAACACCTTGTGCACCAACCCAGTTCGCATACGGCACTCTTGCAGGCGGCCAAGGACAGGGAATCCACGGATGCCGCCATTGGTAGTCAACCTCCGCCGATCAAGACAAGCACAGCGCAAGGGTCAACACCGCCAGTTGGATACCACCTTCAGCGAGGCAAGCTGCTTCAAAACGTGCTGGCAATGCACACACAGCGACCGCGAAGCCTAATCCACAATCCCTCTTGTCCGAATCAAAGTGGCGTGCCCGCTGTGCTGAAGCAGCCACTACCCCTCCATCCATTTCACAGCCTTGTCGATGCCTTTGCTTCTCCCCTGCCCTCCTTACAGTTCAGGTGGTGACTGCCGCTGCCGTACGGCGCCAAAGACCCGCGCACGCTTCCATCACAGCGACAATTGCCCGGTGTCCGCCATTCGTTTGAAGGCAAAGTCCGCCAAAATGTACCGTACAAAGCAAACAGGCAGCAGTATCGCGGTGCCAGACACCCCCAGCTCACCATGAGCCACGTGCGTCCCCTACTGCACTGCCAGGCTCGCAGCCGCGCGAGGTGCCGCGCCTTGGCAACAACGGAACGCAAGCCTCGCGGTTTTGGCGGGGAGCGAATGCCATTCACGGAAGTGGGTTGAATTGCCATGCGGAAGAAAAAAGTCGGCTGCGGTTCCCATCCAAACTTGCGAGGTAGGATGGCTTCATGCGGATTCCTCGCTATCATTAGCCCCGGTTTGGCAGGCAAAAGCATACCGGCTGAAGGTGCCTGACAAGGGAGTGCTCACATTAGACCGCTTTAAAGCGGTCATCGCCAAATTTGGCGAACGTTGAGGGGCGACGGATCAAGCAAACGCTCGGTATGAACGGCCATCGGAGCGGCCCATGCCCAGGACTATCCGGAATTGCTGCACACCGGCCGCCTTTGCACAGGTTCGGCGTTGAGGCCCAGCTGAAGGCTCTGGACACACCAGCCTTTTGAGGAGTTCCATGAGCAGCGAGCATCACAGGCGTTTTCTTATCACATCCCCAAATCACTATCCATGAAACCTCGAGAGAGACTTTCATGAGTACTGGCAAGCTTCTCCATCAAGATTCGATCGAGCACACAACCGGTGCTTAAGCAGTTGTTTTTTGTACCCAGAAAACACATTGTTGCACGCTGATAGACCTAACTGCTCGCGATGGCCTGGAAATCTGGTCTCACCCCACCACCAATGCAGAGCGAAGAGCACGGAGAAAGGAACCCAGAATGAACCTGATTGGTGCTTGCTTGTAGCGGCCAAGACTCCATTTATCATTTTTGCAATCTTCAGCGATTTCGCACACGCCCATGTGCCCCAACGTCATCGCCTCACAGTCATGCATTGGACTATTTGTGAACACTGGGGGCCACCAAACTGCAGATAAGCTTATGTCAGCCACGCATACTTGGGTGCCGAAATCCATATGCAGGAAGGGGATGCGGGGGTGGATTGCCCCCTCGTGCCGGCCTCTGAGCATCTTCATTTTCGCCAATCTCTTCAGTTCTCTGCAAAAGTGACTGTCATGCAATGTTCTTGGAGATATGCGCATCCTCATTAGCAGGGAGTCCATCATTTGGTATTCTTGGGCACATGCCATTGTGTGGCCCACAAACTTGCACCGGCGGCAAGAGCCACAGCTGCAAAGCTCTAAGATGGAAATGCTGAAACTGTGACTTCACGGAATAACAAAAATTTCAGGTTGGCGATGCAGACAGTGGCTGGGCATCCACTTGAATGCACTATGGCAGTGGATGACTGTGAGAGATGCTTCAGTACATCGATGCCTCAGGTTGTGTAGGTTTCTTTACAAGCCTCAGTATCTACTTGATGCTCTTTGCAGAGCATAAAGAAGGTTCTGGGGCTGGCCAAGAGCATGCGAGAGAATGCTTCATATGCATAATTGGCTGGTAGATTGGATATTGCGCCCCCTGGGCCATGAATGCTGCGTTGATAGTGCGAAATAAAGTCATGGTTAATCTTGGTTAATCATTCTCACATGTGCATATGCACATTTGTACATACCACGAATGTGGCTATAAAGTAGAACTGCCTTGATGGAAGTCTTGCTGCCTGGCAACCACATCATCATCAATTGTACCAGTGAAATCTTCTAGACAGGTTCTTCTTTGCTACCACGCCAACCACCTCACCAACAGGAGAATTGGAGCACGGGTTGATAATGCGGGTGGTACAGTCAACGTCTAAGACCGTGATTTCTGGTACCTGTTTGCGTTTCTGGCTTGCTGAACGTATCCACATGGAATGGCGATTATCACAGTGTCCCACGGAATCAGGAGCACTGGATCCGAAAAGACAGAGACCCTAGCCAGTAGCCAAAGGCTCCTCAAGTTGATCGGTGATAGAGTGTTGCTCAAGTTTTTCCTACACCATTCGACCGGAGACCGCGCTTCGAGCCTACTCATTGAACGATTTGGGCTGTCTGATTCTGAAAATGGCCGCCACGTTTTCCTGGGACGAATAATTCGCACATGCGTGTTACCCGCCTTCGCTGACGGGACATACCCAGTTGGCCATGAAAACAGAACTTGGGGAACGTTTGAATACTTTGCTGTCCACAGCACTGCCCTTGAATCTACAGGGCGACGACGAGCAGATTTCCCATCCGCGTGGATATGTGTTGGGAGCGGTCCCTTGGGCTCGACACATGGATGAGACTGTCGGCACGGGCTGGAATGACCGATCCTGGGAATCCAGCTGCGAAATTTGGCGACAGCATTGCGTGTGGGGCTGTTTTGTTGCTGGTGTGGTTGCTCTTACTGGCGTTAATCGGGTTTGTACAAGATCAGCACTGGGTGGTGCTGTGTCTTGCGCGTGCCCTCAAGGCAGCTGAGGGGTCCAACAAGCCCGGAGTATACATCTCATATCCAGCAATGGAAGACGCAGGCCCGTGTCGTTTCTGAGCCGTTCGGGTCGCCAATAATGGTAATCATCAGAAAAGTTATTATCTTAACGATACGTGAGGTCCAGAAGTGGGGAAAGGGAGTGTCGGCAGCATTAGAGTCTTCACCAATCTGATCATCATCCAACAGGCTGGTGCACAATGAGGCAGAAACGCCCCAAAATTATCACTCAGGGGTGCATACATTCTGCAAATTACTGCTGTTAAGGTCGCTCTATATTTGGTTTTGAAAGCGCCAATCGGCTGCAGTCAACTCCGCAACATGATTAATGCCATCTCTATTTCATTGAGAGATGTGTTTCAAGAGGTGTTTGCCTAAGGAAGTGTGTCAATAGACGTTGTTCTGACCACGGTTTGGCCGACCTGCGCACTTTATGAACGGCACCCCGGTTTATGATGGAGGATGGAGGAGGGTTGCCCCGTCAAGGTCTGCCGCGGAGCACGATGAAACGGAGCCGGGAATGGGGGGGTGGGGGGGGCACGTGGAGGCGCCACGTGGCTGTGTGATAGGAATATGACATGGGGGGGATTCTGTGGCTGCTGACCGCGGGATGTGGGGTATACCGCATCGAAATTGCGGTGAAATGGGGGTGCGACAGGAATATTCTGGGGAATCAAAAGATACTTTCCACGAAGGGGGGATCGTGTGAAATGTCGGACGCCTTGGGGATGTACAAATACGGAGGGCGCGAAGAGCGCCGAAGGGGACGATGCATTGTCTGGTTTCTTCGTGCCTCGCGCGGTGGTCTAGGCAATCTGCCTGGCTGCCTGAGTCCCCTGGCTGTGCGCGACACGTGCGCCGCGGCCTGACGCAATAGCGCTGGACCTTTTAGAAGGTCGCGACCATTCTGAGCCGTTTTTCAGCTGTCTTCCTTGCCGTTCACGACCCACACCATGAGTGGGGTCTCGCTGCCGGCGACAATTGGCCAATCGTCGTCGCTGCGCAGCCGTACGTGGCAAGGCGGAAGGAAGCCGTGCTGCGTCATGAGCTGCCACATTGTGGACGGAGCTGATCTGGCCCGTGGACCTAACCGACGTTTTGATTCCATCAACCTCTGAGGAGCTGCTGCGATTGATTGTGGGGCCACGGACGGCAGCTTCAAGCCTTTCTACAAGGACATTTGCCTGCGCTGGCCGGCGGTTGGCCATCTGCTGTCTGTTTGAGACGTCTTGCCACTGCAATTGCCATTTTTGGCGGCGATCGTCATTGTGACTGGCGGCGTTTCGTGAGCAGCCCGTCTGCACAAGGGGGGACGTCTTGACAGTTCAGTGTACTCTCAAGCAAAGCGGAGCTGAGGCTGTTGACGTGGACCGGCTTCCTATGAGTGTGGGAGAGGGATATGCATGCTTCCCATGGCGACCGTCGATATGTGGGATGGTCGTCGCGCCATCAACGGGGGTTGGATGTTGCGACCATGGATATGCGACCGTCTACGGCTGTTGTATGCTACCGAAGGGTCCACATGCATTGGCAGGCGGAGCCCTTGCATCGTTTCATCTTCCACTGCGGGGCATATACGGAAATTCTACTGGCAATCAGGACCGGTGGAATTCAACAGAACCCCATGCTTGCAAGAAGTTAAATCATTTGGCAACAGAACATAAAATCTTGACGACGTTAATGGCCGAGGGGTACGTGGACTACCTTGAGAATGATCTCTGTTTCTGTCATTTGACATCATACTGCTATCCATTGACCCTCTCTGCAGTGATGTTGTTGTCCTCTCCACCTTGTTGCCTCATTTCACCATGGAAACAGCTCCATTGCTTTCCATTTCTATCCTTGGAAAATTGGATAAGGCGCTAAACCCTGGCAGCCATTGGGCCCCCAGTGTAGAGAAGCCCGCCATGCGGCTCTGGCAAGGTTATTGTACATGTTGCCCATCACACAGTGTAGCAATCAAAGCCAGTGATTACATAAAACTTCATAACTTTCCCGCTTGGCCCATTTCTATGATCTCTGGACCGCAAGATTGTGAGAACGGAGCCGAAAACATTGCATATCGCACTCGAGCTGCAAATTTCGCACGGTCCTCCTCAGAAGCTTGAATTTTCTCGTCGTCCAAGGTTCGCTTGGGACCATCAGGTTTCAAAGCAGCTTCAGTTGCATCCTTTGCCGCTTTCCCTGAGCCGCTGCCGCTCGGTTTCATTTGCGTTCTCCGTTGCTCCTCTGCCACTTCATGTCCTATCGAAGCTGGGGGAGGGTTCGTTCTTTCGGGTGCTGTCAACTTGGCTTTTTTCCCATTGCTCTTGGGCGGTTTCTTCGGTATGGAAGGCCTGGAACAGCAGTAAGCAGATAATGAGCTCGGGTAAACGGTTTGCGACATCAAAAAAACAGAGCACCGCCACATGACAACATGCATGGAAAACTTCACATGACGGGATTGTCGGCAGAAAGACGTTCCCTTGCACCTACACAGCGATGGCTAAGGAGGAAGGACCTGGAACCCATCCCGGAATGTACCGCATTGGTAGCAACTTCCTGGGTTCCTGCTTCCCTTCCACAGAATCGGGAGCATCCAAAGCACTCCTCTTCTTTCCACTGAGTTGGCGCGGCTTCGGAATTGCAGACTGAGCTTGCTGCCCTCCCTGTTGTGTGGACTGTCCCAATGCCAACTCGACAGAAAACAACCTGGGTAGAAGAGGGAAAGATTGAAGATCGTCACAATCTCATGATGTTTCGTCTTCGAAATTCAACGATTCACGGACTGGTACACAATGTGTGCAACCCGTTACGAGAAGCACAGTCATGCAGTCACATGCAGAGGGACTTCTGACCGCAATGCTGTAATGTCATCAGTACCTGCAATGCGAGCTGCCTTATCTGTTGTTGAGGTGCCCCGTACTCAGAACACTGCCAGAAAATGGAGTGCAGCTATGAAACTGATAGAGAGTGCAATGCAATGCAAGGGGCTCCACCACTATGCGCATGCATGTCGCTCAAAAATAGGAAGAAATCCAAATGCTGCTGTGATCCTGGTGTTCAAACGTATGCATTTAAGCAAATCAAGAGGTAATCGGACAGTTCAAGAACAGAATCCAGCAACGTCAGCAGCTCTTGAGAACAGGGCAGAGGAGAACTCGATGCCGTTCCTCAGGTTGGACTCTAAATGCTTTGTATGGACTTTTGCAACACAAAACAGATCATGAAGATCGCTTTGGAGGCTTGCTCTTGTTTGACCTATTTGCGTTTGTGTTAAGCAGCACTTGACAGAGGAAAGGGAAGATTTCTGACCCCACGAAATTGGAAATTTCACCAATAAACCGCACTCTGCCATACGCCCCCTTGTGATCGACTCCTGTCTTCATAAATGCGCGATTGGCAGGGCAATTACCTTCCCAAAACGGGGAAGGCAGCGTCCCCTGGGAAAGTTGCCCATGTGGCTGCAACCAGTTTCCGGTAGGAACAGCCAAACAAATTGCGGATCGCCTCCACTTGCAATGTGCCGCTACTAACATCACGCCCTATACAACAACAGGCTCAAGTTAGTTGCGTACGAGACAAACTGTGTGTGTCGTTTCAATGAACATCCCAGAGTACAACAGTGATGCACAGACAGTGCCCCTGGCCGTGCTGTTGGTGTAATATACCAACGCATATTCTGTGCGTGAGGTCGCAAATGTTAATGTCTGTTATTGGCAGCAAATGTTCTCTACGACGCAATCCATTTTCCACAATGCCAAAATGCCAACGACACTAGCACCTGTGAGACGATGGTGGACACACCTCTGTCAGGTTTTGTTTGCCCACGCCCGTCTGTTCACTTAGTTGTCCTCAGAAAATCCCACTGTGATGAGAATTTTATGGCAACCCTTGAGCAAGCTCAAACAATGCCATACAACTGCGGCTTGCATATTTCACAAGTTACAATCTCATAGGGCACGGTACCCTTGTTCATGTGCTAATTGTTGACAACAAAGCGGTTGACGACAGCATGTGGCACACCACAAAGCACAATAATAGTGAAATATCAATCCTATGAGCCCTTTGCCCGTCAATTTTTTAGTGCGTCAACATCACTACGTTGCACTGATCACCTGCATGATAGAGTAACAAAATTTTCAAGAGCAATTGTAGCTTTAAAAGTTCTCGAAGTGGTGCTCCATCATGTTTCAATATATGTATTCAAAAACAATTCACTAAGAAAGTGCCCTTACCTCTCCTCCCTGCACAATTCAATGCGGCTCAAAGATTATCATTTGCAATTTTGGCAGCGAAATTCAGTTTTGTTCAAGCATGATGACCCCAGACTCTGCTGTACCTGTCAGGGGGTCCTCAACACAAATTTTACTGCTACCCACATTCCGCTGCCTGTACCACATGCTGGCATTCACTTCATTGGCTTGCACAACCTCTTTTGGGCACAGTCCTCCTCTGAGGGCAGATATGGCCGTTGTGCTGTAGTCAATGTCAAGTCCGAATCTCCACAAAAACCTTGCCATCATGACAGCAGGATCATTTGTAGAGTGTACCCCTGCCTGGCGGTCATCCAGGAAAGAGAGGGGATTAGTCATGGTGCCTCTGTTGGCTCAACAACATTATGTGAACCTTCTTTAACAGCTGCATGGCATTTGAGCACTCAGTGGCACTGAAACGATGGCATGTTGTCACACTACATGCTGCACATTGCGCAACACAGCTGCCTCCAGAGCATGTGTGCCATTCCACTGGATATTCTCTCACAACATTAGTACACAGGATAAACCAACTGACACATTTATTCCCCATGTTGGGAAACTCGTGTATGCTGCATACAGGAAATATTTGCCATCACAGTGGTACAAAACTGGACCCAACATATGGGCAGCCTTGAATTACTTCCACTTCCTTCACTACATGCTTTAAAAGGCACCGCACAGGGTGTGCATTACCTGCTGCTCAACCATTAGACTGGCAAGTACCATGTGTGAAAGAGAGAAACTGGAGAGGCCACCTGCGCAAAGGCAGAACAAACACATTACAAAGCCAAGCAACAATGTCCCCAAAGCCAGTCTTGCAACCCATTCTGAAATCCACTGCAGACATCCTGCATGCACTTTCATTCACTTAAACTGTCACCGTGGCATTGTGAAGCATGTGGGACTATCCTCACACACATCTGAGACAGTTCCTGCAAATAAACCCCTCTTGTTATATTCCTGCCCCATTGTTGCTTATTCTTCGTTTCAAAATTCTGGTCCATCTCTTGCTGCATGAAAGCATTCTCACGGTCTTTGCTTTGGAAGGGGATCACTATTCTTGCGTGCTCTGCCTTCTCTGCTGTGTGAACATCGCTCGTCACCTTGAGAGACATCGGCCAGGTGCTTGTCCTTCAGCATGCATTTAAGCGCCAAACAAACAGGGCGCAGGGCAGGCCATGCTGACACAGCACCTGCCATGTAGGTCGCTGCAGCAGGACCTGAATTGGAAGCCAGAGAAATATCCATAGCAATTGTGCAGAACCTCCCAATCTGTGGTGAGCAAGCCCCAAGGGTCAGCAGCTCTGGCTGGCTACAACAGAACAGGGCGCATCTAAATACGAGATTTCCTGCATTGAGATTGTACACCAGCAGCAGTGGCAACAGGAGAAAGACATCATGGCAGCATTGCACACTGTGGGCAGGCATCAAATAAGCAATTTTCTGAAGATGCTACTATTTGTCCAGAATTATAACAATATGAAACAAAGCTAAAAGCAGTAGCAGCATGGTGCGTACAGCATTAATCTTCAGGATAGGGATTCTTGCATTCCTGATGAGCTGGAAGTCGGCCTTTTGAAAACAGGCGTTTCTCTGCAATTGTCGGCGAAGGCTGCCAAGGTGCCTGGCCACCTGTGCCCTTTCTTCTGGAAGGTACCCTGAACTCAACACACAACAGATGCAGTCTCTAGCCTCAACATACAGATGCCAAGCGGCAATGTTCAAATGGTTGACCATGAAATCAACAATCAGAAGCATGTCATCCCAAATTGTTTATGAGCAAGAAACTTGCTGGACGAATCTGGAAGGACAAGTTCTGCCACTATGTCAGCAAGCATTTCATTCTTTTGACATCACAGTCATATGACCACACCGCTTGGTCCCAGGGTGGAATTTGAGCCTCCGATCTTTCTCTCATCAAAACTCTCCAGGAGTTCTTGTCAAGAAATGACAATTCCTCCCCTGATGAACAGTGCAGATAGATTCACACATGAACTGGACTGTTCGGTGCGAGGTAGTGCTTTGTCATACTGTTAAGCAGTGCAACAGTGCGATTACACAATTACAGCCCACCAAAATGTCTGCACTAATTACTACCCACCGCTTGGAGTTGACGGGCTCATCACACCAACCACCACTAGGTCAATATCTGAAGCAGCCACACCCAAACCGTTCGCATAACTGCCAAAGGGCACCACTGCCACATGTGGGTAATGGGGGCGAAACAGTTGCAATGCAACACGTGTAGCCCTGCACAGTGCACAAACAGTTGCCATAGTTTGACACACACTTTCAAGAAAATTTTCCTGAGGCAAATCTGACAGCCACCAGTGATATAGTTGGTTGGACCATTTTGCGCCAAAGCATCATTGCAATCGACAATGGAGGCCAAGCCTGTAAGGCACAGAGTCTATAAATTAATGTTCCCTGCTTCATCGCAGTTACATGCATTTGCACCCTGGTGACAGACACAGAAACAGCCAGAAGCACATTTGAAACCCCCAGTCACCATCAAGTTGGGCAGATGGTCCTTAGTGCAGAAATATAACAGACAAAAGCTCAGTTTCATATTCTTCGAGGATTCAATAGCAGATTGTACACAGCAAAGTACAGGTTCTGCCGCACTCAACGAAAGAACCATGGCCACTGCACAACTACATTCAGTGACTGAATTCCTCACAGCGATGCGCTGCCAAAACACACAGTTGGTGCCATTTGTTTGCAATTGACTCGACATCCAGCCAGGTTTCCCATTGCACCATACCCCAAAATATAGTCCACCTTCTCTGCCTGAATGTCAGGTGATGGATTCTGACACTGGCTGAATGCAGTCAGCTCCTCACGCAATCTTTGCATACCATCAGCATTCCATTTAGGTGCAGATTCGCTGTAACTGGTAGGCTGTTTGCTTGCGGGCAAGTCAGCATTGGTGGCGTCAGTCATCAATGCGCTTTGGCTGGTTGTCGCTGCATCCTTGCCATCCAAGGGCCTCTTCATCACTGTTGGGTGCTGATTTGTATCAGGCACGTGGGTGCCGTTTTCTGGTGAAGTGCCATCCTGCATATCAGGCACTCCTAAGCCAGTAGTGACACCCCCAACCTCCAAAACCTGTGCATTTGTTCCATCAACAGTTCCCTGATGGATGGGAATTTGCTCCTCAGCAGCACTTCCATGCTTCCTTTTAGCCTCTTCTGGCATTTGTGCAACGTCGGCTGCCAGGTGTGAGTCGTCATCTTGCACATCACGCTGCTCCCTGACACCCAAATGGCCCACGCCCTCTTTAACACCTGCACGGCCTGACTTTTCTCCGCCCTGCAGCTCGGCTGCTCCACCGGGATGAACACCGGTTGGCGCGGCAGCTGCTTGGTCTGCAGTGCCGCCAGGCTCCGCTGTTTCTTGAGCTGCTCGTCGCGGTGGCGGGCATAAGGGCTCAGGCGCCCGACCCCAGCAAGCCGTTTTGGCCTCCCACGGCTTGTTAACGTGGGATGGAAACAGCGTCCAGGGCTTCGACCAATCACGGAAGCCACGCACGTCGTCATCTGCACCAAACCTGCCGTGTGTCAGGCCCGCGCGCTCACACTTCGGTGATCTTTTCCCACAGGCAGCAACGAACAAACAGCGACTCAATGCCATGTAGAATGCCGCCCCAGGTTCCTGAAGTGCACGGGACCTGATAGGTGCCGCCAAGGCTGCGTTTCGATAGGAGCCACAGCGCCTTGCGGGCAAAGCGGTGCGTCCTTCGCCTCGGTCATTGCGTCGATGGAGGTCGTGGGGTGTGCAGGTGGGACTGTGAATGAGCACCAAAAGGCATTCTCTATCAAAGAATTAAACGTTCGACGGCGTCGGTGATCTCGCTGATTCCATTTGCTGGGGCGCTGACAGTGTTTTTCTGTATTCTTCCGTGAGGCCGGCAGCAAAACTGCTGTTCTGTTTGTAGAATACATGTCATACAGGCGTATGCCTCAAATGAGAATCACGGTGGGGAACATTGAGCAGACCAGCTTTCCAGTGTTATTCCAGCAACATGGTAGACGTGCTGCATAAATGCTGGTTCCCCAATGGGAAGGCTTCCAAATAGGGAACTTGAGGCCTTGTACAGGGATCTGAGTCGGTGGCTACTAAACTAGAGTGCCATATATATGGGCCATCTCTCAGGCCAATATCGGCAGCGACCTCTCTTGTGGTTGTGGATCAACTGCTTCATAGTAAGCCTAGCTGCAAGAATCCAACTGTGTGGGCAATCGCTGAAAGCGAAATTTTGGCTATGTAAGTTGGCAAAACGTGCTTGTTTGTGTCTCTTAGATTCCAGCGTGCATATCCATATGATGCAACTTGATTCCGGAATACAGTATCCATATCACAAATATTTTTCTGGATCGCATTAAGGGGAGAATCAGTATGGAGTGATTTTCGTGTGTACGTGCATGCCCACTGATTTTACTGTTGCTATTTCTCTTCATTAACTTGCAGGGAGCTGCAACATTGCAAGTGGCTGCGTTTCACTGATGCGCCACAGCATCGGCGATGGCCACAAATGCATCGCAATTTTAGCCCAGCATAGCGCTGATGGATGCATGGAACAGCGGCACAGACTGAGGCGGATGCAAACAGTCGTGCCTGCGTTCCTCGAATCCATACAATCCATGGATTGCAACCGACTACTGCGGCGGTGGCTGTACCTCCAACTAGGCAGACAATTTGCAGGTCAAACATGGCAGCGCCATAGCCAGTATACCAAGATCATGGCAAGCACAGGGTAGTGCATTCGAAAACATCCATCGCTCTTGGCTGACGCAGCCATCCCATAAGGCCGGCCCATCCAATCTGCGTTAACTGTGCCATCAAGCATACGTCCATTCCATCCGGTTTGCTCCCACTGGCGAACCTGGCAGTTGCTGTTCTGTGCTAGTTGACAGCAAGTCATGTGTTTGCGTACTGGCCGGGGTGGATATGTCTGATTACCAGTGCTCGCCAGCAAACTACGAGCAACTCACAAGCAAATTTGTTTCTGGTACATTTTGCCAGACTCTTCAACCCATTCATTACCACGACAGTTACACTTCTGTTTTCATACCCGTTCACCTACCTGTGCCATGAGCCCCTTCCAGAACAACGCATGAAGCCTGATTATTCCCATCAACATAAACACCATCGTCGCCATTGACTATGCCAGTATTCGGTTATTTCTGAGGAGGCCATCGTACCGTGGTCAGAAGCAAAGCACCATGGTGCCCGTCACTCTGTCCACGAAGTCCTGAATCCCATGAAGTTCACGGACAGAGTTTCAAAGTTCCGAGACCAGCGGTGGGGTTTCTTGGCATCTAAGCAATATTTCAAGCAGACACTGCACATGGAAAATGCACAATTTCCAAGCTAATCTGGTCACCTTACTTTTGAGCTTGGTCACACCAAGCTGCAGCCCACACGCTCCACTGTCTAGAATACTCTTCAGAAGCCACACGACATCATTCGCGGACCTGCCACACACTTCGCGCCTCACTCCACAATCAATGCGTGCGTAGAAGCCTTCGTCCTCAACGCCAGCACCTAATTATCAACTTCGTGTTTGAGCATACCAGGCATCCGATGTCACTCATCCTGCTCCGGTTCCCCTTTTCTCTGCAGAGCATTTGCTCTGCGCATCACCCGCGAAAAGAAGCCACTCTCCCGTGCATCCGCCTAACAGAGAAGCCAATCAGCTATTAGCGTCATGTTTTTGTTGAGAGGCAGCATGTGAAGTACCACGCACAAGTTCCACGGCACAAAAATACAGCTGCATTTCGGATGCCGTGTGCTGCACACGGTGTGCAGTCCACAGTCCTGTATCTCACAATAATCACTTGCTGTTCCTGAAGCTGGTATGTCACTTGCAGACAGGCAAACCCAATTCTGCTCAGTTGCCAGGACACCAGACGCTTGTTGGCATCGACTTACCTCAGCCCTCAGGACGCTCAGAATCCCAGTCATCTGTGAAACTACCAACTCAAAAGTTGGTCTCTCAGCGGGCTCTTGTGCAAAACACAGATCCGCCAGCTTTGTCAGTGCTGGGTGGATATCTTTTGGTATATGGGGCTTTGCTTTGCCATCTGCAACAGCCATGGCAGTCTGAATTGGCGTCCAGAAGTTTCCATGATATGGAAGTGCCTGTGACAATGGACAATCCTGTAAAAAAGTTGTGGCAACAAGATTGAAGCATGCGGAGAAATACATGCAAGGTACTCAAAACAGTGGCACGTTGACCTTGCACAGCACCCAACAAAGTAGCTTGGCCCACAGCAACAGTCAGAACGAAGTGAGACGATTGCCAAACCATGAAGGACGCCAACGAAGAGATCCAACATCATCAACTCACATTGGTGCACAGCTCACAGAGCACAACCCCCCAACTCCAAATATCTGTCTTTGAGTCGTAGATTTCATGTCGAACCATCTCTGGAGACATGTAAATGTAAGTGCCTGTTTCAGTTGTCAAAGTTGACCTGTCAGTGGTGGGAAGCCGCCTGGCCAACCCAAAGTCTCCTATTCGGGCGTGACCACTCCCATCAATAAAAACATTAGTTGGCTTGAGGTCGCGATGCAAAATAGGAGGGTCACAGCATTCCAGAGCAAGCATGCCCTGTGCCACCTGCGCACATAGCAACCACAGTGCACAGCAATCCAGAAACAACCAGCCACTCCACGCTCACCATTTCACAACACACCCTGGACCCTATTGGAATAAGTACAACACTGTGCAAGCTTGTTTTGATTGATGTGACTGCAGCGCAAGAGACAGCAACAATATGCCACACAGGAAACTGGCATAGTCATACTGGACACAATTGCATCCAATTGTGTCCTTCGGCACTGTTCCCTCCCCTGGTTTCTGTAACTCTGACTATATCAAAATGTGCATTGCTGGTGCCCATTGATCATTAAGAAGGACAGAGACCATGCCCCACGTGGAGCCAGCACAGGTTCCAGAGAAAACAGCTCAACAACATTCAGTGTGCATGCACTGCAGGCAGCATTTTTGACCTGTTTATAGCCTGTACCTCCAATGCATACTGGAGCCGTCTCAGCAGTGGCCGGCGAGCATTTCGTTCGGAATGGAGCCATTTCCCAAGCGTTCCTCCAGGCATGTATTCACAAACCAGCCAGAAGGTGGTGGGTGCAATTATACAGGCTCCAAGGAAGGGAAGCACATTTGGGTGGTGAATCCCAGCGAGAGCTTCCACTTCCCATAAGAAGCTGATCATGTCCTCTTTGTTTTGGACTGATACACACTTGACAGCCACCTGACCCCCTCTCCAGATGCCATGATATGTTGTGCCAAAGGCTCCTTCCCCGATTGTGCTGCCTCGACGAATCTAAAGACACACAATGGGAGCAACTTCCATGTAGCTCTTGTGTTTATATCCATGATCACACACTCTTCAGTAAACGATCAGGGTTCATAATGCTGTTGCAGGTTGTTGCTCATTCTATCTCAGGTTGTGCATGGTGAGGACAGGGACAGTGGCTTTGAAGCCCTGCCGTTCTGTCACAGGTGATATTTTGTAGACATGGTGGCACAGTGTGAGTTGCGCTTGAGCTTCTGCCATAGTGCTATTCTTTGTGTCAGCTTGGCCAATGGAGAGACTGCTGCACCTGCAATTTTTGGGTAATGTTGAACCCATTGGCCAGGGCTGTTTAGGATTCCATTCACAAGATTTTGCAAAGGTTTTGCCCAATATTCTGTGTCAGCACTCAACAGAACTGAAAATTCGTGACTTCCAACACATATTTGTCCCCAATCTTCGAGTTGTTGACGAAACCATCCTTTCATCTGATAAAATACGTGGGGGGGACAGCCAATACAACCAGACTGGCTGGCTTTCATCTTTGGGTAATTGCATGTTGGAGCTCTGCAGAATGGTGGTGTCCTCACCTCACTGGAATCAATCAGCCAACCACCCATTTGTCCTTTCAACACAAGCTCCCGCACATCTACACCTGCCAACACCATTTCCTGCTCTCTGCTCGAATCACAAATCTCCCTACATTTTGCCTCAACGTCCTCCGGACTTGGCATGTCCCCAACAACGCGGACGTCGGACGATCCCTCTAAGTACCCTTTCTTTCCTTCATTCAGCATTTTGCACAGCAGTTGGGCTCTTCTTTTCCATGCATCACGGTCCTGCCTGAGGCCGCCCAGCTGATGTGTCGAGTTCTCAATTTCCGAATTCAAATGCTCGTTGACTTCCCGCAAGACTTCTATCTGATCTCGAAGGTCCTCGAGGCTGCGATCGGTGCTCACCGAGTGAGTCCAATTTTTGGGGTTGATGGGCAACGCTGATTGCGACTAGTCACCAGATGACTAGGGTGACAGTCTCCCATTGCCGGGTGATCGCTGTGGTGCACTTGCTAACCGCCAACATTGCGCTCAAGAAGACTTGGGCGAAGCCACGTCAAGGCAGCCAACCCCAGGAATCACCGCCACAGGCTCGGTTCAAACCCAAACTACCCAGCAATTACGAAGAGCAGGGAAATGGGGCCGTCTCACGGCCCCATTGTTACGCGTAATAGCCGTCGGCCCCTTCCGATGACATCCAAAGTGCTTGTGTACAGGCCCGTGCCACAATGGCAATCCAAACAGGTTCCCAGGCACCCAAGGACTATAACTATGGGGCGCTCACTTAGGATCTGGCGTCGACGCTTGCTTCTTCTGACTCGGTTTGTCGGGTGCAGCCTCCCCCAAGTCGTTGTACAGTGCCCCGTTTGCCTTCTCGACCACCACATAGTCGGCGGCCATGCCTATGTGCGCGTGGGCCCTCCCCAATGCTTGGAGGTGGCGAACTGTGGTTGTGGGGGCCCCACTGCTAGGGCGTCAGTAACTTCGCCGTGGGCTGCGTGGTAGTGGCAGGGACACGCATCCCCAGGCCTGCAACTCGTTGGTGCTTGCATCGCTCGGTGTTCGCCTTGACTGTCCCGGTTGGCCCCCTAGTCAGCCTCCTGGCATCGCACCAGAAGATGGCGTAATGGACTACCGTACTGTATTCAACCAGTCCAGAAGTCGGGCCTTTTGCCCGACCTTCTGCACTTTTTTCGTTGCCCATTCACCCATTCAAAGTTCGCTCATTCGCTAGACAGGTTGCACTGTTGATTGATATTTCACTCCATCACAGTTTGCTCAACCCTTTTTGATCCCAACTTCATTTAACGGAGCGCACCATTCATACCCAATGTTTGCCCCTTGTGAAATAACAGCGTTGTAACTAGAACTGATTGAGTATTATTGACAACTGAGTACATGAAGAGATGATGAGGCACTAGGAATTGCACTAAAGACGTTGATGAACGGATTGAATATAAGGGACAGAACTCCTGTTGTGCCTTTGCCTCGGCTGTAAACCGTTGCCGTGGACTCAGCGTACGATCCCCGTTCAAGGATTACCTCCCCTCGATCCTGCCTGCCTTCGTCAACAGTAGTCCAACATTTCAGCCTGACGTTTGGCCCGACGTTCTGCACTTTTTCGCTTAATCCATCCAAAGCCCCCTCACTCGGTGGCCAGGTTGCGTTGTTGATTGCTGTGTCCTTTGCTCCCTGGGCCCAGGCCCGCACAGCACCGTCGCGAGAGTTGGCGCCTGCTGTGCAACCCGGGGGAGCCCTTGAGGGGCACCCGTCTCAACCCGAACGTTTGATTCGCAAGCCATTGCCGCAGGTGCATTGCCCGCGATCGACCCCAAAGCGCATTCGACACTCACGGCACGTGATTGCCACACACCGCGCGCTGTGATCGCGATGGCGGATGTCCATGCCCCACCCCGTGCTCGCGCTCAAGCTCGCCCCCCCGACCCGGGTGGGAGCCGCACCCCCAGTTTCCGCTTTTCAAAACATCACCCCAGGGCCCGGGGGCCTCGAACGCTGGGCCTTGAGGGGCGCGCTGATTGCATCCGGCGCCGCGGTCACCGTGCCGATGGTTGCCACAGCAGAGCTCTGCAAGGCTCTGGAGTCGCTCCTCAGCCCGGCTGAAGCCCTCGCGGGAGCGGCAATGCCGAGCAGGGCGTTTGGGCGCGGGCCATCGCCGTTGTGACGATCGGCGCCGTCGATGGTCTCCATTGCCGCCGCCAAGACGCGGGATCGCGCCGGAAACGCACGCCTCGAGCGCAAGCGGGCACGGTGCGCCGCAGTCGTGGGACCAATAGCCGCGCGTCTCCCGTCGGCGGCCCTCGAGGGCAGCCACCGGCCCACCCAGGGACGCTTGCCCACAGCACCCAACTAGGAGAGCCCCACCACTCACGTAACCCACGTCACAGGGGCCGATTTTTACACAAAACGCTGAGTCAGAATAAAAAATCATTTCCGGCACGCTCCAAGTCGGGTTGCCAGTATATCATATTAGACCCTTCCGCATTCAAAAATTTTCCCATTACACTTTTTCCTCCGCATGTTGTTTTTCAGAGCATTATTTCTGTTCTCTTTGCGTAGCTCGACAAATATATATTCCAAAAAATAGCGTTGTTATTATATTGTTTTCTCCGAAAGAAAATGCCAAGCTTTTCGTTACTATGCGAAGGGTTGAATGTACTATGGTGCCGGTGTACAGACCATATCAGCAAGGGTACTATATCGATTCTCCGAATTTTGGGCAGCCTTTTATTTTAGACAAGCATGAAGTCAACTACCAACCACGTTGAACAGCGAAGGCGCGGTCTTTTGCAATCGCGCAAAGTGTCAGAGCCTGAGAAGAACTGATGGTGGTACATTGCATAACGATGCGAGGGGCTGCGGCCGTGCTCACCGCCGTGAGCAAGGAAATTGGTTACATGTTTCTACACGTTTCGCCGTTTACAAGGGGCAAGGGCATTGTTCATAATGTATTCTGGAATAACAGAAATCTGTTGATTTTAGTATGAGGGCAAATGCGATGGTGTTTTTGCAGATCTGCTGTAGAGGACGTGCATGCAGTTGCGGTGATATCACTATTATCGATTGTAGAGGGCGGAAGGGTGCGATATTTGAAGTCATGGTGGCAGGCGCTCGTGGCAGCCCTGGGGACTGTCAGTTGGGGTATTTGGGAGGTTCCCATAATGGTTGAACGCTTGAGGGGATCGCTGGAGCAAGTACTGATGTGTTTGGTGTTGGTCAGCGGCGGTGTGGGGAAATCCTCAGCACATGTCCAATTTGTGACAAATACGCAATCGCTTAGCATCACAAGTCTGAAACCCTTCCCCGTTGGCGTCGACATGACCTTAAGCGCACTGAATTCGACACAGCGCAGACCCAGAGGACATTGGCGGATGCGCCATTTCTAAAGCAAGCTGCTGGGACGCCGATGTTGGCTTAACAACGATGTTTGAAACCGCCTGTGTCAAATGTTACAGTCCATAGCTGAAATACTGCACACCGAATGCGAAGTCCCTATGTGTTTTCCGATTGTTGGGTGGCATGGTGGGGGATGGGGTGGGGCCGGGGAGGACAATCATGTCTGTCCCGCAGTGCGCAAATGTGCGCTTGCTTATGGGCTGTGAACAGCATAGCGTTTATCCGCATTGGGCACGAACTGACGCTCTGCGGGAACGTTTACAAAGTTTTACCCTCCTGGATGTCGACCAAAGTGCATGCCTCTCGACTGCGAGTCGCAACAAGCGAACCCTCAATCTCCAGCCCAGGCAGCCTCTACGATGCAGCAGGCCGATCGCACAGCGATCTTCAGTCGCGTATGATTGGCCAGACGCATACAGGAGAATGACGAAAAGACGCCCCTGAGCGTTGATGGCATTGGACGTCATTGCAAACGTCACAGGCGCACATGGAGGTCGCGGGATACCTTACCCACATGCGACAAGGAAGATTGCCATTTTTGTGGTACTCAGCGGCACACTCCACAAACGACTGCTTTTAAGAAGATGGCCAAATCGAAGTGCCATGGGAAGGTACCTATCTCACCGTTGACGGCAATCTGGAGGTGTTAGTTCATGAGAGAGCGTCGAAGACCAGCCTGATAGAGGAAGGCAAATCTGAGGAGGAAGTATCGGTAATTCACCTGCAGATTGAGAGAACGGGCAGCTGAAGAAGTTGTCAGTGGGAAAGTGCAGGAACGGAAATTGGTGGGGATAACCGCGGGAAAGGCTGTCTTGGAGAAAATTGAGCGAGATATGAATGCCTATAGCATTTTCCTGGTCGTGGACATCGAAAAGACTCCATCGAGACGGACGCTAAGGAGGATGTCCTGGCCGAGCTTCAGGATTTTGCATACCACCTAGGGTGGTTAAGTGCAGAGGAGTCGCTGTAGACTGGAAATGCTACTGGTTCCAGGTTCCCTGCTTCGCTTACTTTGTAGCTCTAGGCAAAGTCATCGAACAGTTGCAGTCGGCCTAGAAAGGAAACCTGGCACCGGCGGTGAACTAGTTGGCTGAGGTGGAGGGGATATGTGCAAATGTGGAGAGTATTACCGTGGCGTTGTCACGGGGGACGCGGCAGCAACTCGATGCCCCAGAGGCGGCACTGCGGGCCTTCAGGGCACCCCAGACAGCCAGCGAAGTGGAAAGGAGAGATCTGGACATTGGAGCGTCGAGGTGCGCTACGTCATGGATGTTATGGCGGGCACGTGCGAGAGAATGGCGTAGTTGTACGCCCTCATCTCGTGCACATGAAACGGAGGCAGTTTTGCGAGAGCCGCCGTCGCCCCTTGTTACCCTGTCTTCCTTTGAACGCGTCCGTTTCCACGGGCGTTCTTACACACCTGATGCTCGGGCCAACACACGCCCTGCAGGGTGTTAGGGTGCAGGGCTGCCGAATCCAGTGCGTTTCAGCTGTTAATGGTGGATTCTGGGAGGTATGTGCGCACTGCGGTTAGTACCAAATTTGCAGTTCTGCATTTGAATGCTAGTTCTGGATGTGCGGCTGCGAGCAAAGTTCCCCCTTGCGGGCAGCACAGGTTTGGGTATTGGTACCAGGGACCCAGGGATGTACCGACAATGGTCTGTACCTGTATCCTCAATGGATTGTGACCCACAGCATTTGGAGAGCGCGGGAAACCAAATTGATGGGGCAGCAAGTGGACAGGGAGGGAGCGAGCGCCTCTCGATTGAGCAGCAACTTGTGCTGACATCACTGCCGTTGGAGAATTTTCGAGGGAGTTGTCAGTGTAGAAGTGCAGCTGGGAAGAACCGCAAGCAGGGCAGACCCCTTCCGTTGCAATGGCGCAGAGAGTGGAAGTCAGGCCGAAAACGCCAATCGCTAGATAACCAAAAGTGCAGGACCAATAATGTGAATTAGGAACCCACCCACGAGGCAAATGCAAGCGCGTTCGAGCTTTGTGCCCAAGTAAACGCGTCCACAGCAGGAGCTGCAGGTGCATCTGTTGGAAAACACTTAACAGGAAGAGCACGGGACAGCACTGATGCATATGATGGCATTGCTTCTTGTGTGTCTCATTATCTTTAGCGACGTCCATAGGAAGTGCTTTCGAATGGTGCGAAGACTGCGCGAATACGAATTGCGTTTGGCAGATCCCAATACATTCAAAACGCCAGCAATGCGGCGACAGGACTGGGCCTCTTCGACAACACATTCAAGTGGGGCGTGCCTCATGTGGCTCTGACCGAATCGCATGTGCACATTCCTGTCAATCCGTTGTTGTCAGGGACAGATTGGATGCGCATTAACAGGACCCGGGACTGCCGACAGATGACATGACGAACTATCATTTTTGAGTCTCCACAACCTGTTGCACGGACAGAATCGTACAACACCCACTCATGGCTGACTGACTTGAAGCATTGGCAGACTTTGATATCGCCACGTCTCCAGCATGCCCTTGCAAACTCAACGCTTGGGCCAATTCAACATCTATCGAATGGAGCATTTGCACTGGTTCCATCCCCTATCCCTCTTGTGGAACAAATCCAGTGGACAGGCTGAAGTCAAACTGTACCGTGCAGCGTAGTTCGAGCGTGTGGGTGGTGATGCGGGCGATTGGGAATTCGTTGTTGATACGACACAGTTGCCACGGGTCCGATGCCTGTTGACAGCCCACCGTTTCGTGCTTGGAGCCATGCAGCTTTTGAACAATGTCAAAACAATTTTGCGGCTCTGTGCACAGCTGACGCACCTTCGGCATGATGCATTTGTTTGGCCACTGCCAACACGAAACAAACATTCATTTCTAGTAAAATATCGCATGCAACTGCTAAATCTTGATAAATGCCAATCCTTGACACCAAAAAGGAGCATTGCCAATTTTTGTTCGCAATCTAGCTTCGCTGGCATTGCACACTGGTAGACGAAATGTCTTGGGGAAGTCCACTCAATGCCAGCCCTCTCACTACCTCTTTTTCGGTCGTCGCTTCCTACCTCCCTCTGCCCGAGATCGCCTTGGAAGAGCGGTTATGCTTGACTCCACACGAGCGACATGTGTGCTGTGATTGTATGGCATGCGATTGCTCTTTGATCCAGCAACATGCACTCTATCTGAATTGGGTATTGATTTGCCCTTCCCCGGATGCGGTGTGTTGCGCCCTTTGCCAGGCCGTGGCCTGCTTGTTCCCTATGACAATCGTTTCGTGGCATTCAGTGTATAACCCCAACAGATACTTCTTGCCTCAATATGTGACTAGGATAAATACAATCCAAAGCCCACTCTCCAACATGGATCTGGCAGCAGCCTGCAAAAACAGCTGAATCGAATCTGCAGGGCTGCGACTGGAAGCACTCTACCTGCGCATTGGGCGTTGCATGCTTCAGTTCTCTAGACTCCTCTGGCAGCACTGGCAAAGACATCGGCATGACCCTGAACACAACACCCCAAGAGTCCAATGAGCAGATTGGTGCAAGTAGCTGTCGGGACTTTTAATGTGCAGCTGGCATGTGTGTGATGTGCTTGGCAGTGTAAAAACTCAGCAATGCAAAAAATGAAACATGAAAAATGTCACGAATGATCGGGAGATACATATGGTGGATGCGCAATAGGTTTAACAAAAAGGGGACAGTGAAAGAGGAGCCAGAAGTGTCTGGGACACACATCATTTCTACAAATTGGGGCGGTGTTTCACAATATCTCTCCCTGTATGTTCCCTGCATCTGGGTAGCCAGCACGGTCACGGGAAGATTACAGGACAGATATCCCATCACACTAATCAGCCAGAGTAGTACATAAACCACACCATCTTACACAGGCACCGCACGTCGGCAACCCACGTTTCTTCTTCTTCGTCATCACTGCTGTAAAGGAAAAATGCGTCTTTGCCTCTGGGAGTATCTTCATCTCTCTGTGCTTCTGTAGTGTTGTCAGCAAGGACTAACTCCTCCTCAACTGCACAAGTTCCTGTCCCCTGCTGCATGCCTTCCTGAATTTCTGTCAAGGCCACATAGTCTTGCTTCACCATTTCCCGCATCCGCTTCCTTAGCCCCTCCAGCTCATCAGGCTCCATTCCTTCCATGCCGTGGCGAAGGGGAACATATCTCTTATTGGGAGGATAATACAGAACATACTGCGAAACAAACATGTTTCAGAGGCACATCTGCAGAGAATGGAACATGGTACTACTCTGAACATAAGTCAAAGGCGTGCAGCAACAAAAGGGCATTCCACAGATGATGAACAAACACATTTAGAACCACAGAACACTAATTGCAAAAGAAGGGAATTGGCAGTTGTTTGGGCCAAGTGCAAGAAAAACAATATCCACATAGAAAGGAGGGATGTCCGCTCAGGAAATGTGTTGTAACCACAGTCAGATCTGGGGTATGTGGACAGGGAAGGAATAGGCTCACTGCACAATCCTCTGTTGCTTGAGGTCCCTTGAGCAATTGCAACATTCTCCAAAAGCTCTGGGACTAACATGTGGAAAGCAACCGCAAACACGTCAAGTGCACATGCTGTTCTGAAGCACAAAGTATGTAGGCCATTGGAATGAAAACAGTCAGTGACGGGCACATGACGACCACAGCTATGCTGTGCCAAGCATATTTCATGATCATTTCCATGTGCAGGTAATCGAAGTATGTTAGAATACTGTATTAGGTACACCCATCACTGCATCTATCAAGACATCTGTTTTCATACAGCGATATAGACTCCACCATTCATGCCAGACTGGATTGTGGCAAATAGAGTCTCTGATCCTACAAAGATTGGGAACAAGACCCTATCAGCCTTGGGGCTACCTTCAACAGGAGCCTATTCTACCAGTTTTGTTGCCCAAACAGACTCCTGAGCAATGTTCCTTCAGAAGCAAACATCAAGTTGTCACCCCTCTGAGATATTTTTGCACATTTCCAGGAATCACTTGTTTTGAAAACGCTGGATCCAAGTTGAGGCACATGAAGGACATGTCAAGGTTCCGCTGTCTCTTTTAGAACCTTTGCTCAAACAATATGCAAGGGCACCAATGCATTTCTGTCACACCTTGTCACCTTGTCCCTTTAGCCGTGTACTCCTTGTGCAGATGTTAGCAAGTGGGTATGTTACATGCCTGCCCATAGAATGTAAAGGTTACCAACGACTCACTATTCTGTCCTCCTTCAATGCTGCAGCCAGTTCAATGTCTTCTTGCCGTGGCTGCTTCCCTTTGCGAGACACTTTGCTTATCTTCAGTTGAACAGCCTTCAGATCCTCTTCTATAGCTTTTGTCTCCAAAGCCTTCAACCCCTACTGAACAACATGAACAAATTCCCACATACCTAAATCCAGTTTTGAACACATAATTATCTCATCTTGAGCTGTTGTTTTATTTGCAATAGTGAAGCAGCCAACAACTGCTGCATCATAGATGACCGGCAAACTGTGATAGACCCTTTCTAGACAACTCACCCTTCCTGTTAGAGTTGCAACATGGACTTGGCAAACAGACCAATTCCCAATGCTGCACTCAAAAGCTGAATTCAGAGACTTGGTGAACCAACGAAGCAGGAATTACTTGTGGCAAGAGCAGATAAGGTTTCTCGCTCAGGAATATGCTCTAAGAAGATTCGGGCTGGTAGAGGACGCTGGAATTGATAATAAGTGCATTTCAGATCTCCTTCCAACACATGCAGTCAGCGCATGCACAGTTGGGCTCCCCAGAATCAATAGCAGACCATGTGCATTCAGGAGCCAAACAAATGCTCCGAAAACTCTTCAAAACATATCCATCTGCACCGTGCCAAAGAAACCCCATCGGAAGGATTCATGCCCGCAACACCTCGAATTCTTATCATCGACACGCCCAGCTACGCCCCTCTCTCACCGCGCGGTCTTCCCTCCTTCGGCTGGGGAACTTCTGCACACCCCCCTTTCGGCCTCCCCGCCGTTTCGTCACTGCTCGGCTGACCGCGATGGCCTTCCGGCGGCCCTGTTGGGCAAAGCCCGGTACTGACTTCCCCATAAGTACCCGTTTGCAGGTGCGACCAGCGGCCGTGGGGCGTTCGTCAGATCAGTATGTGCGGCTGTGCGGAGTGCCCAGCCACCTCCCGGTCCAGCCGGCGGCCGTGTCCCGCCAAGGGCTGTTGTCGGTTGGCGCTCGCACAGGGAACTCTGACCGGGACCCGACACTCGCATCCCCGGGATTGTTTGTCTGCTGGCTCTTGGACTCCACTAATGTACAGGGTGTATGTCTGACAACTGTTGATGGCCATCATCCGCCCATCGCACTTCAACATACTGTCGACAATGGCATTGGGCGCTGAGGCCTCCACTTGCAGTGGAGCATTGCCGCTTTGGGGGAAAGAGAAATGCGGCACATCGCAATGGCGTTGTGACAGTGCGCCCACCTGCATGAGCTGATGTTCAAGCCATGGCGATGCAGCGCTATTGAGAAGGGGCCATTTGCTGGAATCATTATCCGTTGGCTTTAGTTGCCATGAACAGGTTAACTCGGCGCCAAAGGCCATGGAGGTTTTTTGCATTGCCACGGTTGAAGGAGGAACTGAATGGGTAGATTGTCATTTTCTCCTGGCAGTCCTCGGGTGAATCTGCACCGATGCCTCTGTGTTAATGTGCTAATGTGCATGTTGCTTTAAGCCTCAAGAATCGAGGAAACTGGTTGAGCATCATTACCTAAGTCACCATAGGCATTGGTAGGTATTTTTATATCATTAAGAGGCCGTACATTCGGCGTAATTTCTGGGACAGTGAAAAGGTGTGAGCTTGTACGAGGATACGAGCATGCCCACAAAATGTCGCCGCCAGTTCATGGAACGAAAGAAATTCAGGTTGTTTTGAAATGATTTATCAAGCATACTTTTGCAATTCACGAAACGTTGCTTGTGGGGATGGGTATCATATTTAGTCATTTCGCGAAGTGGAAACGGAGCATGCCCCCACAGGAATCAGCCGCCAAGACAACATCGTAAAATGCAGCGAAAATGTCTAATGTTGAATCCAATCTAACATGCAGTGCCTGGCATGCGATTTGCAGCAGACGGGGCTTCCAACCCGATCACAAGAAATTGGTGCCTATTGCACTGCTGGAGCTAGAGAAACCATGTTGCTCCAGTGCTCCATAAATGGAAAGACAAGTTTCAACAAATCTTTTGGAGTCTTCCTGTTATACATCTGGGCCACAACACATATGTATAGCATGCACATATGATGTTTTGGGAGAAATTTATGTCTGCTTTTCTTGTCCTTCGGAGTCTGCAGTGCCGGCCGCTTTCTGCATTGTTTGGTACGGGCAACAGCCAAGCTTGGCTCTTAAGAGGACCCCGCCAAACCGCTAGGTTTCTTGCCTGGGAGTTGATATAGCTAATGCTCCTTACAGCTATCCATGCTCAAAAAATATCTCAGTAACATTTCAGGACTGGGTGGTTCGATTTGAAACGTATGGGGGTACCGATATACATAAGTTTCTAAGCATCTGAACCTTGTTAGGACGCATGCATCTAGATGTATACATCTAGATGCGTGCGTCCTAACAAGGTTCAGATGTCCAGAACATATTGCTGCTTCAAATCTGAAAACAGAAAGTTGCAAGGATCGAGGTCGTTGGAGGCTCAATACCAGCAGACATTAGTAGCAAACATGTGTGATGTACTATTGCACCACCAAGGATACCAGTAATAGCGAAGGTGCCTACAGCTGACAGTTGTGCTCCGGTGGAAGTATCTGGTGGCTTAATGCCAAAATGAGGCTTGGTCACTCCAACGGAAAATCCAAGTCGCCTCATTGTTACTATGTGAAAGAGCAGCGTGGCCGGCAATATGAGAAATAGTCCATAGACTATCGCTGAGCCTTCTGTGATATCCGCACCAAAGTTTTGAGATCAATGATTGCTGGCTCGGGTGCCTTTTGCAATTTAGACCCTGCAGAGCGAATTTGTTGTCATTGCCATCAAGCGGCTCACCTGTTCGAAGATGGTGTCGAACCTAGTTGCCGCACATGCTATCACAGCGGAGTCACTGATTCAGCAAAGGGTACCACCACTAGTAAAAAATCGGTCATTTTACACGGTGTACAATCGTGTACAATCGTGTAACATCGTGTAAAAATCGTGTAAAAAATCGTGTACTTTGCTACCCGATTTTACACGGTCGGTGCTGGGTACACGGGATAAATCGTGTAAAATCGTGTAAAAAATCGGGTTGCCCATGGACGTAAGGTGGACAATTTCGTGTACTTTCATCGTGTACTTTTCATCAGAAAACTACACGATTTTAGCAATCGTGTAGTTTGTGATCGTGTACTTTTTGGTGATCGTGTAGTTTTGTGATCGTGTACTTTTTGTCCATCGTGTACTAACACGGTTTTGCGGGTAGTTTTCCGTGTCTTTTGGGCCAGGTTGTCACCTGTGCTTGTGACGATGGAGCACAGTTTTTCGTGTAAAAGTCGTGTCTTTTTGGGGGGTGCCACCCACTGGGCGTTCAGGTGTGTTGGAGAGCCTGCAGCACAATGTTCCATGTGCGAGCCCACTGGAACAAGTTTCCAAAACAACCGTTCATTACATTTATTGCCATCCACTACAATCATCATCCCCATCAAGAGGTGGATATCCACCTCTGTTCCCCTCTGTATCCAGCCATAGCAAATGTTCACGTTCAGCAAAACAACGTGCAAACCAACTAATGGACAGCCAGCACACCCAAACACATACACTGTCCAAAAACTTGGTCAAAGGTACCTACACACACACCAAGTACAACACATGTCAACGTGAAGTTGGCTGGAGAATCTGGACACCACACAAGAGTTATAGCTGCAGGGATTGGAAACACGCAATTGGGTGCCTCTCAGGTATCCCCTATTCTGATCAGCACCTGGACCTTCACTGTTAAAGTTTAGTACGTTGTGTTCCTCAAAAGCTTGTTTGAGAAACAGCATGCAGAACATTTTGGTGTGAAGGTCGAGGTGGTCCTGCACTAGCGCCAAGGCCAGATTGAAACAACAACTCTTGCTTTGTGGCGTACGACCAGTGACAGGCTGGCAGCCCGTATGGCCATAGCAGGCACAATAGATCACTATGTTGGTGTAAAGCAGGCTGGTGTATGGCAACTTTCAGTATGAAATTCGCTGGCTAGCACACTGAATTGGTGGCGGGGCACCCAGGCATGTTTTCGGAATCTTTGACTGCCATCGCGAAGCCCTACGTTTTCAATATTATCTTACCTCCCAGGGATACACCATCGCCTGTTCCTCATCGTCCATGCCCCCTCCCTCATCCCCCGTCTGGCTGTGGTGATGCAGCCACCACGTCCCCTCAACTACTCACAGCCGGAATATTTCACAAGAGGGCCCCGCATCTGCAGCTGCCATGCCCAGGGATGCCAAGATCTGACGCTGATGCAGCGCCTCACCTCCGCCGCCGGCGACTCATCACGCCACACTGCTGGGGCCACGCCACCGTGACACTGCTGCGTTGCTTTTGGGTGATGGAGCCCACTTTTGACAACAGCAACCCCACCTCCGGAGTGCACTCTGCCGCCATCGCTGACCCATGGATCACCGATGGCCATCGCCGATGCACCCCAGCCCCCAACCCTGATATCTCCATGCTGCTGCCGCCACGACACGACAACCACAAGTGCGCACAGCCAAAGCAAGCCAGCGTGCTTGCCTGTGCCTCTCACATGATTGCCATGCCGCTCTGCCGTCCAAACCAGGGTCTGGCCGGCACATCTCCGCCGCCGGCACCCATTGCGCCACTCGCCACTGGCCAGCGCCCATCACGCCACTCCAAGAGACACGTCGAGTGCAGCCAGGCGGTGTGCCGCTTGACAATCACGGCGGGGAGACACGATGCTGTCGCTGTTCGGTGGGCGCGGGGTTTTGGTCTTGGGCGTGTGGGAAGACGGGATTGGCGCGATTTCAAATTTGCGACCTGAAAACAAATGCTGGCATTTCACCATTCTATTGCATGATTCCCTACGCGATTGAGTACACAAACAACACGATAACACACGATCTCCAGCTGCGCAACACGATTTCCAGCTGGTGGCAACTGACTCTAACAAGAATATATGGCTGGGTACACGGAAAAAACATGATGTTACAGAATTTTCAACTATAATATATGATGCTTCATTGTCCACAATTGAGTGCAGCTTGGGTGCAAAATTCATTACACGATTGGCTACGCGGTTGATTACCCAAATAACACGAACGAACACAATTTTCAGCTGCGCAACGTGATTTCCAGCTCTTGGCAACTGACTCCAACAAGGGTACACGACTCATTACACGGAAAGAACACGGTGTAACACGATTTTACACGATTGTACACGAATTTCAGTTGTTTTCAATTGACCGCACCAAGAGTACACGGTTTTACACGATTTTTTACACGCATAACACGGCGTGTCATTTTCAGGACCGTGTACTCTGGCCGATTTTTTACTAGTGCACAGGGCAGGCGAGTGCCCTGGATACCTTGCTGAATCAATGGCCATCGTTGATACTCAAAGAGCAGACAATCTGCACACCGAAATGCCGTGGGTTCTCTGTTCCCAAAGTGCGTTGTCAAGGGAGCTGCAAGCGCTGTCAGCGTTGATCCGATCCACATTGGTACGAATCATAGCCATGCGGAGCGGGATGGCTTCATGGTTTGTATTGTGTTAGTACTGTGGTTCGTACAATGTTCTTTACGGTCATGTCCTGGACGCTCTGGGGCGTCTCAAGTTCTTCGGTATGTGCGCCACTAAGGCCCAGGTCTGTCAAGGGGGCCCCTTGGCCCCAGGAATTCAAGCCTCATGCTGATGGCGGTGTGCGGCAACCGCACTGTGGCGCTTCTGTCCCCGACAACTTGATTACGATACGCGACGTATCGCTTCCATTGCAAAAAGCGTGCATCCCAAGAACGTCACCTCAATCGAGGAGCCCCCCGATGTTGGACTGCGGGATCCCCAGGAGGTTCGCACAGGGCCCCGTACGCCAAGTTCCCACAATACACTGCTGCCTCGTGCGGCGCTACCTCGCAGGAAGACATAACACGTCCATGTGGGGCATGGGCGCCGTGAGACGCAACCAAGTCATCTTTCAGCACCACCGGGCACCAGATATTGGAGACGGGGGCGTGCTGTGCCCACCCAGTAGGCCGTGAGCCGCACTTCCGTTCTGATATTGAAGGAGCGGGGACAGAAGCAAACTCCACCTCCGCCATGGGAGTCGTCCATGGCGTGGCCGTCCTGTTTCTGGCTTGCGCCCTGGTGCCAGCGCGGGCGCAGTTCGCTCTTGGGCCCGAATCGGACCTCGGCCCCGTGACGACGTTCCCGACGCCCACGACAACGCCGCCGGTCGGTCGACCCGTCGGGCCGCCTGTGGCGTCTGGCTGGTCGGAAGGATACATGAACCCCTTCGGCAAGGCGGCGGTGAGTGCGCCAGGCGATTGCGCAAGCGGGGCCACTGCGCCTGACTCGCGGATTGCAACTCGGACGGTGGCGCAGTCGCGGCGGTCCGCGGATCCACCATCGCCGTGGGCCGCTCCGCTCCGGGTCCTGCATTGGCCCCTTCACACCGCTCCCATCGATGGGATATCGATTCTGGATATCCAGAAGCTGGGCGGCGTGCGCCCAAGCTTCGTTTGCAAGCCAATGGGAACGGCGACTTCCCGTTTGGAGACGCGCCTCGGAATGGGAGGTCGCCGCTCGCATTGGCGTGAATCCGTACGGATGCTCCCCCTCCGGTGTTGGCAACGCCATGGGCGCCACCATCCAAGGCGGGAATTAAGTTAATCAGCGCCATCGCCGCCAGCATCACGTACTTTCCCTGCTGGTCCGCTTGCCGCAAATGTGGCCGTTGATGGCCATCCGTTGGGTCCCCCGCGCCGCCGTGCTACAAGGTGGAAGGGCGCCTCTGTGTATTTCGAAGACGCTTGGAGCGAAGGAATTTAGCGCTGGGCTGATGCAGTGCTTTTTTCCTTAGGATCCTTTTGTGGAGGTTGGGGGCTGCGCTTACGACGAGCTGGACTCCAGGGAATACCCGTTCTACAACGTCATGCTTGTGGCAGAGGGCAGCGCGTTTGTTGCCGGGAAGACACTCGACGGCTGCGGGTCGTGCTACGAGATTCAGTGTGCAGACACGGCGGTGAGTGGACGACGCTTCTACAAGCGCACACTGGGGCCCATGTAGGGCAATGTAGGACCGCCGCCGTCTCACAGCATTCGTTTCAGCAGTGGAAAAGCGCACCAACAACACACTTGGTACTGAGCGAGATCGTTTATATCTAGACACCGGTTTACTCATGAACTATTTTCAACAGGCGCACGATGCACGCACGGATTGCAATTCATTCTGTAGGTGGAAAAATTGCCATCAGTGTTGTGTTCGTCAGTGGGTTTGCAGTTAGAGAATGGACTGGATACATGTATCCATCCGCTTACTTATTGTAACTCAAGTATGGTGTTATTCCTCATGAAATTATGTCGCCGCCACTCGCTTGCTTCATGCATTTGGTGCATTGTAAAACTGTTTTTAATGAGACAAAGACGAATTCCGTCGTAATCTGTACTGTCAAACTGTCGCTTAGTTTCAGCACCTATTGGTCGATACATGTTGGCGCACATGCTCATCAGCACATTTGTTCTGGCTCCACAATACCGTAGATCACGGAGGATAACGGCCCCCCGCGTTGAGCATTAGGGGATGTCAGGGATGCGGGGGGCGTTGTGTTGCGTGGCCCTGCGTTCCGCATCAGGGCGTTGACTCAGCAGCGCCCCCCCGTGTCGTCACACTGGCCAGCGTACCGGCAGCAAAGCATACCGGGCCCCCGGCCAATTTTGCGTATTACTCAAGGCGCCATTCACGGCAGCAACCAAAACCGTTGAGAAACAAAGTGGTGGGACGCCAGAGCACGCTGCAGTACGCCTCGATCCCCGTGTTGCCAGATTTGCCGCAAAGCGAACCGGCGCCTGGCCAATGTGGCGCATACCATAACATTACACAAGGCGCCAATCACGGTGCCAACGAAAAGCAACGAATAAGAGCTAATGGGACGTCGCCCAACACTGTGCTGTGCCGCCCCCAAGTGTCAACGGTATTGCTGTGTGGGTAGTGTAGGGCATATGTATAGAGTATACACAGGTACCATATTCTGTAAGTATAAAGCTGGTCACTGACAATCTTGATGACATGGTGCTTGATTGAAGGAGGAATGTCATGGACACTACTGTTGAGTTAGGGTGGACTTGGTGAGATCAGGGTGATGGCGCATGGAGTGAGGTGTAAGAATGTGTGAGAATGCAGCAGTTATGATATTATATGATGTTGAAGCGACTAGTGCCCCCACCCACCCCCTCACACTCCCTCGCTATCTTGTGTACCCCCTGAGCTCCGCAACACCTGCCATGTTTGATAACGCTGAGGGCGTCATCTTGAGGCCTTCGTGCTATCCTCCGTGATCTACAGTACCAAGCTTATCAAGTTTCCCGCATTGCGACCGAATAGTGGGTGAAGGTGGCAATAGTGAGCAGCATGCCATAAAACTGGTAGTGCTTCGCCGTGGGCCTTCGCCTAATGAATATAGTTGCCGTGGTTATGCAGGAGAGGTGCAAGGATGGACCCCTATCAACTTCCATCATTGCCATGGTTGGAGGCAACTGCGATGAAGGCTGCGACGACACTGATTTCAATCTCCATACGGGCGCCTTCTCTCAGCTGGCTGCTGCCAGGGGAGGTGGCATACAAGTTCGCATAAGAGAGGCAAGCAAGAGACCACAGTTTCGTTGCCATATGTGGTCACCTGCCAAGCCAGTCTTGCATGAATGCCCCTTGAATGGTCAGGGCAATTCGCCTGTGGGCTGGGCTGTGGCATTTCAGATCTGTGCCCACCCGAAAGCATAGTTTTTCTGGGCATTTGCACAGAGGAAAGGACCAATTGAAATTTTTTAGTAGGGTGCAGAGGCTGAGAAGGATGGTCGCAGTCGTCGATTGGCTCGGGAAATTATTGCGGGATTGCCATCCGGACGGGCAATGTCCTACCCAAAAGCGTTCCACAGGATGCACGTACAATTGTGTACGATTGAACTCAATATGTGGTCCTGGGTGATTTCGGCTGCGGCTGTTCGAGAATTTTTGCAGCGGAACAACAGTTTGGGTCCAGGACCACCGAATAAAACACATCTGATGTGAAGTCTTCATTGCGAAACTTCAAAAAACCGATCTCGCTGCTCTGTGTTTGCAGGCTCCCTGTACCCCAGATGGAAACGTTGTGGTGAACATTGAAGAGTATCGCGCTTCCGACGGCGGCTACGTAAAATTCGCCGTTAGGAATATTCCCGGCGATGGTGGGCTGACATCCGTGGAAATAAAGGGATCAAATGAGGTGCGAATGGCTGGGATCACAGGTATTGAATGCAGCATGAGGGCTCTGCTCGAGATATTAAATAAATGTGTTGTTCTGTCCCTGCGAATCTTACGAGTTGCATTATTTCATTCAATGATGGTTCGATGCATACCCATGTGTACTGTGCAGGTGGGGGGATGGTTCGAGGCGGACAACACTTTCGGTGCGGCTTGGGAGGCCAGTGTGCTGCCAGACCCGCCGCTGGACTTACGGCTCACAAACACTGAGGGAGAGCAGCTGGTTCTCAAGTGGGTAAATACGCCTCTAGCATGTTGGAGGCTAAACTTGCCCACCAAAGTCCTTGACTAAAACCTGCTACTCAAGGCTGATGATTGTGTGTGGTACTGATTGTGCATTGACGCCCGTGATCATTGTATTTCCCATGCCGATTTTTAAGGTTTGGAAGCTTGGATATTTGTGAAACCACTCGTGCGAGAATGCCTGTGCAATGTATCAGATATGCAGTGAGCAAACGCTTTCCCAAATATTTTGTTCTTCTGTCTTGCATTCTGCTGGACAGCTGCATTTACAGTGTATATTTTGTGCAGGGCAATCATCAGCGTGCCGGGCTTCGTTGGCGACGTGCTGTCAGATGAACAGTTCGCTGGCTCGTTTGCACCGAAAGCAGCCAAGCCATCCAATCAGCCGGCGCCAATCCCCATTCCAGGATCCGGGCCACCGCCCTCCCTGGTGCCCTCCCCGGTGCCTTCCCCGCTGCCCTCTCTAGTGCCTTCACCGGTGCCCTCTCTGGTGCCTTCCCCAACCCCCCTTCCCGCACCCCCCTCACCCTCTCCACCCTCACTGAAGCCACCTGCTGTGGGAGTTGTGTCAACGCCAACTCCAGGCGGTGGTTCCACATCCCCTTCCACAGGTAGTCCTCCAAGACGATCTACAACCTCGCCCTCGCCGATTCTACCCACACCGGGATCTGCGGCATCAAAGCTGCTTGATGGCCAACCCTAGGCTCTGAACACTCCTTCTGGCAACAACACCCTGAAGGTAAACTGCCAGCGAACATCATGCTGTGATCACTGGTAGAAATTCGACCATTTTAAACGATGTGCAGTCGTGCGAAATCGTGTCAAAGTCGTCTGAAAATCGGGTACTTCTGAGCACGCTTTTACACGGCTGCTAAAATCGTGCAGTTTTCAGCCCTGTATAGTACACGAAAGTGGACCACCTTACCACCATGGACAACACGATAAAAGCCACAGTTTTACACGATTTCAACCGTGTACCAGCGGCAGCCGTGTGTGTTTGATCAGTTACACGATTTTTATACCATTTTCCGCGCACAATACTGTTCACGATTTTCAGAACCGTGTACTTTGGCCGATTTTTTTACCATGCTAATTCCGAAATTGCGTGCAAGACTTGCTATGTTGGACATACATTATATTGTTCCGTTCATGGCGGTGATTTCTGCAAGTTTTTGCATGTCAATGTGCAACGTTCGACAGGGGATCATGTCCAGGACGCATAAAGGTGCAATTTTAGAATCGGAATCATGCTTGCCCATGGGTGATGTTTCACTGTTTCATCAGCATAGGCATTTCAGCACGTGAATGTCATTCTTGAACTGGAAGATGAGTTCTTTTTTTAATTTGAACATCAGGGTTCAAGCGACGCGTCTAGTAAAATGGATATGCATTGGTAATTTCCAGGTTATTGCACATGCGCACCAATGCACAAGAAGATTGGCTCAAACGTCCATCTGTTGATGCTGTGCATCGACATCTGTCTAAGCGCTTTTGTGTTTGTTCCGTCACTTAGGATGTCGCCATGGAGCCAAATAGTCCCACATGCCTCACACAGCCAGCCACATGGCGCCCAACGCATGCAATTCGTTATTGAAGCTTGCACTCATCATGGCGGATGGCTATGCTCAGGTTACAGGGGTGTTGTGGACGACACAGTCATGCGTTGAAAGGAAGTCCGAGAAAGCTCTTTGAATCGCATCGCGATGCGTCGAAGCTTCAGAGCTTCGTGTGGATCAGTCTCGATGGGCGCCAAAACTGGAGGGCCGCACACGGAGTTCAAAGAATAAGTGAAAAGCTGAAATAATGATATCGACTGGCTGGCGTTGCCAAGATAGTCGGCGAATGCAAGGAACGATTTTGCCGCGGCCGGCGTTTCCCAATAGTTGACGATAATCGCACAGGGTTGTGGAGATGGAGCTGGATGATTTGATTTGTGACTGCGATTTCACTTCAAAACCCTCATGCATGGCGTTGCTCCCTTCAAAATTCGCCACAGGCGACAATTCCTGCCAGTTTATGAGCCGAACTTTGGACTTGCAGTTGTGTACACGAATCTCACCTCCAGATGGTTTGAATACTATGTTTCCAAGGCTTGTCCTGGAAGCCGTGGGGGCCTCTCAAGGCACCGCGATGTGGGACCACGATGGCACAGGCCTGTCGAGGTGTGTCTGTCTGGGTTGCCGATGATTCCAAAACCCGATGTATTTCCACTGAATACGGTGTGCGGCAACTGCAATGTGGCGGCGCCGTCTGAAAACCTGGCGTTGATGCGCGACGCATAGCTTCCATCCCAAACACCCCATGAACCCCGGCATTCCGTGAACGTCACCTCAATCGCAGGACCCCCACCAAATCAGCGCGGCGGTGAGGTCCCTCCCAATGTTGGACTGCGGGCTCCCTCGAGCAACAATAAGCACCTGACACAGTAACACGGCAAGTACCTTACTGTGCCAGGTTCCCCCAATACACAGCTGCCTCGTGCAGCGCCATCGAGCAAGAAGCCAGGGCCGCCCGTGTGGGGCACGGGCGCCGTCAGACGGCACCAAATCATCTTTCAGCACACCACCGGGCACCAGACCTTGGAGACGGAGGCGCTCTGTGTCCTACCAGCAGGCTTAACCCCGTGCTTCCGTTCTAAAACTCAAAGATCGGGAGGAGAAGCGCGGTCCACCTTCGCCATGGCAGTCGTCCATGGCATGGCCGTCCTCTGTCTGGTTTGCGCCGTGGGAGCGGCGCGGGCGCAGTTCGCGTTTGGGCCGGCAGCGGACATCCCCTCGCCGGTCCCGTTCCCGAATCCCAAGAAAACGCCACGGGCCGGTCGGCCTACCAGGCCATCCGCGCCGTCTGGCTGGAGGGATGGATACATGAACCCCTTTGGAGAGGCGGCGGTGAGTGCGCCATACGATTGCATAAGCGCCGCCGTTGTGTGCAACTCGCAGATTTCAATTCGAACGATGACGGACAGTCGATGCGCAGTCGCGGCGGTCTGTGGATCCACTATCGCCATGGGCCGCTGCGCTGCGGATTTTTCATTGGCCCCTTCACATCGCGTCCATCCACAATGTGCGCGGCGTGCGCGCAAGCCCTGACGAGCATTCGCAAGCCAAAGAGAACGGCGACCTCCCCGTTGGAGACGCGCCTCTAAAGGGGAGGTCGCCTTTCACATGGGTTTGGAACAGAACGGATCCGCCAGCTCCGGTGATAGCACCGCCATGCACAACAGCATCCGAGGGGGGGATTAACGTTCGCCTGCGTCATCGCTCCCACCGACCCGCCATCAGGCGTGCGCCGCCGGTCCACTTGCCACAATGTTGCCGTTGATCGCCATCACGCCACAAGGTGCAAAAGGTGAGCCGCTGTGTCTTCAGAAGATATTTTGAGCCGGGCTGATGCGGCGTCGTTTTCGTTAGGATCCTTTTGTGGAGGTGGGGGGCTGCGCTTACGGCGAGCTGGACTCCAGGGAGTACCCGTTCTACAACGTCATGCTTGTGGCAGAGGACAGCGCGTTCGTTGCGGGGAAGACACTGGGCGGCTGCGGGTCGTGCTACGAGATTCAGTGCGCAGACACGGCGGTGAGTGGACGACGTTTCTCCAAAGGCACATTGGGGCCTCGTGCGCAGGGTACTCCGAAGGGCAATGTGGGGACACAACTGGCTCTCTCCTTTTGTTTCAGCGGTAGAAAAGCGCACCAACAGTGCGGCTGGTACTTGGGGGTTTCGTATGTACACGATTTTCAACAGCCGTACGATGCACCCACGGAATACGATTCACTACGCAGAATGGAAAACTTGCTACCAGCAGTGTATACGTCAGTCGATTTGCAATTAGAGAATGGATCGGACAAGAATCCAACCCGGTCTGCATGAAAGTATGTCAACACTTCTTATGCTTGACGCCTTTCGATACATTGTCTTGGAATAATGCAAAGCCGAATTTGGCGTTATGCTTCTATTACGAATCCATTATTTAATATATGGTTACCATTTTATTGCTCGGTACAAGTGTGCACACATGCCCATCATTTCGTTTTTTGTCTTCGCAGTGCAAGTTGTTTATTTTCCTACCTGGCGGCAGCAGTGTGAGTAGCGTGCAACACAACTGGTAGTGCTTCGCTGTGGTCCCTCATCTCGCGAGTCTAGTTGTTGTCTTTATGCAGGAGAGGTGCAAAAATGGACCCCTATCAAATTCCATTATTGTCACGGTTGGAGGCAACTGCGAAATAGACTGCGATGACACAGATTTCAATCTCCATACCAGCGCGTTTTCTCAACTGGCTGATGCCAGGGGAGGTGGCATAGAAGTCCGCATCAGAGAGGTAAGCAAGGCACTGAAATTTCGTTGAGGTGTCCGCACGGGTGTCTACTAAATCTTGCGTGAACTATCCTTGGATGCTTAGGATGGTATTTCAATGTTCGAGCTGCGGTATTTTAGATGTTTCTCATGGGAAACAGTTGATTGTATGGCTTATGTATACAGGAAGGGAATCTAAAAAGCTACCGCAGCACATGCAGGGAAGGATGGTCGTTGAACGATCCAAATAGTGTCCCGATTCAACTTGAATCCGGACACTAACTGAATGCGACAGTGCAATCAGGATCTGTAATGTCTTATCGAGACTCTTGATAGGGAATGTCGATGTGTCTACAGGGTATCTATACACGGCTATGCGCAAGTTTGTACGATTTTGCTGAATTTCAATCGCGGTTGTTTGGCGGCTTCTGATGAGGAGCAATGGTCTGGGCCCAGTACTCCCACATGAAACACGTCTGATGTTGGCTCCGCATTTCAAACCGTCCACAAATGTTAAACTTCCTTCTGTGTTTCCGCAGGCTCCTTGCGCCCCACATGTAAACATAATTGTAAACTTTGAGGAATATCGGGTCTCTGACGGTGGCTACGTAAAATTCGCTGTCAGGAATATTCCGGCCGATGGTGGGCTGACGTCAGTTGAAATACAAGGATCAAATGAGGTACGAATGGCTGACAGTGCTTGAGTGTAACCTGCAAAAAAAATGTTGAAAAAACTCCATACCCCTCAGATGCTGGACTGGTCGTCACGAAGATTGCCACTTCCACTGCACTTGGATATTTGAAAACTGCGCAGTCGACAATCATTGAGTCGCTTTTGGATGGAGCAGAAACTCCGTTCCAGAGCGTTCAATGTGTGCACTGTGCACTGCACGGTTTGTTCCAGAACAGCGCAAGGTGCACAGATAGTGTTGTGCATTCGGAAACACAATCTGTCATAAAAACTATGCAGTATCATGAAGGCATAATGGTGAACATCACAGCACCCCTGCGTTCCCCTTATCGATCGCCATCGCCTCACAAACCACGATCGCTTTTGTTACGATTTTCGCTTATTTGGGAGGAAAATCGATTGATAATGGGCCTGTTCGTCTGCATTCCAGCTGTGCACAGCGGAGCAGTATACAACATTATTGGTTCCCTGTTCTTTCTGTGATGGTTGAGGGTACATCTATGTGCAATTTGTAGGTGGGTGGATGGTTCAAGGCACAGAACACTTTCGGTGCGGCTTGGGAAGCCAGTGTGCTTCCGGACCCTCCAATGGATATACGGCTCACAAACGCAAAGGGAGAGCAGCTGGTTCTCAAGTGAGTGGATTTATACCGATAGTTCTGAGAGCTAAACCTTTCCTGCGGGAACCAACACGTGATGGAACAGCTGCTCAAAGCTGGTGTGTGCCCGTAGCTCTGATTGTGCGCTGTCCATGATGATGTCATTTCCCGTGCTTGGCTTTCCTGTTTTGAAATTTGAATCTCTCGGCCAGGCTTGGTTTTTACGCCGTAGAAACTGATCGTATTTACGTTTTTACACGTAAAAATAGTTTTTACGTTTTTACGCGTAAAAATGCGTAAAACTACGTAAATACAACGTAAAAACTGTGCGGTGTACATAAGGACAGTACATACAGACTTACGGAGTCCGGAGACTGGCAGCTAGGCGCCCTCGAAGGGGCAGAAAACGAGTTTTTGTTAAGCGCCATCATCGCCCTTGCCAAGGGCGAGGTGGACATTGTGTTGCGGGTGCTGGAGTTGGCGGATGACTGATCATTGTATGCAACTTTCATCGTATAACCTGGGTGTCCCGGGGAGCCGCCAAAACGTAAAAATAGCCGTAAAAATGGGCCCTTTTGCAAATTTACGTTTTTTACGCGTAAAAACGTAAAAGTAAAAAATAAACGTAAACGCAAAAACCAAGCCTGCTCTCGACATCCCTCCTGCGAGAATGCATGCACAGGACATCTCAGTGCAGTGAGGACTCTGTGTTGTTTGAAACCTATTTCGGCTTCCATCTTCCTCCCCACTTGCATTCTACTGGAGCACTGCACTCACGAATGCATTTCCGTTCAGGAAAATCATCAGCGTGCCGGGCTTCGTTGGTGACGTGCTGTCGGATGTTCAGTTTGGCGGCTCGTTTGCACCGAAGGCGCCCAGGCCATCCAGACAGACGGCACCGATCCCCATTCCAGGATCGGGACCATCTCCCTCCCCATTGCCCTCCCCTGTGCCCTCCCCTGTGCCTGCCCCTGTGCCGTCTCTGGTGCCTTCCCCCACTCTCCTTCCCACACCCCCTGCAGTCCCCTCCATCTCTCCACCCTCGCTGAAGCCACCCGCCGTGGGGGTTGCGTCACTGCCTGCTACGTCCGGCCCTTCCCCGACCCCATCCCCGTCTACCAGTGGCCCTCCCAGACGCCCTTCAGCGTCGCCCTTGCCGGATCCCTCCACAGAAGGATCGGGGGCATCCGGGCCGCTGCTTGGTAGACAACCTTGAGGGTGAGCATCCGTTCTTGCAACAGCGTCCAATAGGGGTGCTGCTTGCCCATATCGTGCTACTTTCCTCGAAAGGGAAACACGGAATTGCAATGTGGACCTTCAATAGTCCAACTACTATTTGCTGTGGCGCCGGTTTCTGCACCGCCGCTCGCTGTCAAAAGGAGATCATGGCCAGAAGACACATGGGTGCACATTCAGAATCTGAATCATGCTTTGCCACAGGCGATATTCCAATGCTTCGTCATGTTGAGTTGTCAACAGGAACGCATAAAGCGTTGCTATTGATTTGGGATCATGGGTTTCGATTTACTGATGAGCCTTCTGTCTCCAGTCTATGGGTTGAGGCAAACTAGATAAGCATGGATAGTTTCCAGATCATTGCACTCATGAACCTAATAGAAACGAAAGTTGGCTCAGACGTCAAGTTGCTGCAGCTGTGCTTTGACGTCCATCTGGGCAGTTTACGATTTGTTCTGTGGTGTAGGGTGTCGACATGGAGTCTGGAATAGTCCAATATGTTCGCGCACTGCCAGCTGCGGGGTTGCCAACGCACCGAGATCGTCGATGAAGCACGCACGCATCATGGCGGACGTACATGCACAGGACACAGTGACGGTTTGGCGACACAATCACGTCTGGAAATGGATTCCCACAAAGCTTTCTGAATCGAACGGTTGAACGGCGAAGCTCAAGAGCTTCATGTTGATCTTCATGCATATTCTCGATGGGCATAATGGCCGCAAGACCGCAGATGGACTACCGCGAATAAATGGGCAGGTGGAATAACGAGTTCCAACGGGTCAGGCTGTCCAAAAGATTGGGCAAATGCACGGAACGCTTTTGTCATGGCCAACTTTTTGCCATGGTTGTCCGTTACAGCGTGGATTTCGGGCATGAAGCTGGGTAATTTGATTTAGAAAGTATGTAAACAGGAGTTTGTGCAATGTGTATCTCAGTTGGCATGGAGCTTAACCGGAACGAGGGATGGTTTTTCCAATGATGTTTTGCACAGTGCTCAGCGCTCGAGACCAGGTATGCTATCCACAATCGGATGTCAAACACTTGGAGTCGGACGTCAATTAGTTCGGGTATTTCGATTTTTGCATCACGCTTGTCCACAAACCTGCCAGGGGTTCATGATGCCAGCCTGGACAACGTGTTTTGTGGCGACATTGTCATCTATTTCGGTATAGTATCTGAGCTGTGTGTAGCTCCAGGCGTACCGTACTCGCAAAACTCTGTGCTTCAATGACTGTACCGTGCAGCAGCTCTCTGTGTGTCAGCCTGTTGAAAATTGATGTGCCATTCCCTACAAGACAGCGAGACGTGCAAGCTGCACCTTGTCCGTCCTGCAACAGTGTCCTATCTTTGGGTGATTATCTCATTTCAAGTCAATCCTGGAAGAGGGTAGTGCATTTCCTCAACACAGTGTATCCCATTTGCCCCAAATCGTTGCATGCAGAGCGCAGAAACGCTTGCAGCAGAAGATGGGTATGCAATGAATAATTCGAACTAGGATGAGAGAGCGATGGTGCGAATGCAGCACGTGACATTGCATCATATAAATGCTGGAAGCGGTAGCGGAATAAACTGATCTCGCGGGACAAAATGGCTGAATTCAAGCACATCCTTTCTGTACTAGCTGCAGATGCTGACCAACCATTACAATTATCAGAAGGAGACGCACCACCGCGTCCCTATTCCCGAATCATTGGATTATTGCATGTATCATATCATGATGTTCAGTTATCATGATGTTCCACATCACATAGCATCAGTCCACCGGTGCAGGGCAGCAACCTGTGCAGGCCAATTGGCCACACAAATTTCAATTTTTGTTGAGATTTTCCAATGATAACACTACGGCGACAATGATGGTGCCGATATTTGCGGGTACGGGCTACGATACTACACAGGAACGTCCCAGCCTCCGTGTCGGTCAGTAGCCACAAGGAGTATATGCTCAGCACACCGAGTATGCCCAGGCATATGCATGCTTATGCAGTGATTACGCATTGGATTTCGGAACTTGAGCGAATTGCAGTCCGCGGCCACCGGATGTCACATCGGACCGATGACCACTTCTGAGGGCGCCACGCCCCGTCTAATCAATCCGCAACGCTCTACCCTGCCCACATACCACCCCGCTGCGCCCGGCTCCCCAGAGGCGCAGGCGGCCGACTTGGCCCACCACGCCCGTAACTAAATAATCACGCCCGGTGTGGCAACCACGCCACGTACCTTACCATTGCTCCTCGGGGCGCACCTCAAATTTGCGGACGGGGTATGCGCGAATGAGGGCCGCGGGCCGCCTTGGCGCAGCAGGGATGGCGGCAGCTCGTGTGGCGCACATCGCCCTTGCGGCGTGCGTGCTGGCTGCGGTGCTCAGCGGCGTGGCCGACAGCGAGCCGATATCCGAGTGGATGGAGGGAAGCACCAACCACTTTGGAGGGCCCGCGGTGAGGCCCTCCGCTGAATTCTGGCGGCGCCCGCGGGTGCCGTCAGGATTGCGCGGGGCGCGCGCCCAATCCGGAAAGCCCCCCCATCTGCGCCCGCTCGCCGAAACGAGAGCGAGCGCAGCCGCAGCAAGAGAAGCTCGGGCTCGACGCTGCGCTGCTAATGGCGCGCTCTCGCGATTGGCATGAATCTGTGGGCACGTTCGCCATGAAACGGACGTCGGCCTTTGCGCAGAATGTGCGCATTAGGCTCGCGGTCTCGTGCATGAGGTGCTGATTGTGGGCGGCTGGGTCGCGCCAGGAGGGAGACCCCTTCAATCCCCTGGTGCCCATTGGGGGCTGTAGCTATGGAGAGCTGAATCCCAGGGAGTTCCCGTTCTACAACATCTTGAGCGTGGCTCCCGACAGCGAGTTGGTGTCTGATAAATCGATGGGCGGCTGCGGCGCCTGCTACGAGATCCAGTGCGCCGATTCGGTGGTGAGTTGGCTCGGCGTGTGGCGACGGCGGTTTGCTGCCGAAAAGGGCTCTCGCATGAGAGAAAGGGCTCTTTGGAACTCAGAACGTCCCATGAACTGGAGAACTATGACGCTGTTGAGCTCCTGCTGCAGCAGCGCCTTCGCGGCAATCAAAGCGATGGCACAGACATGTGGCGGCAATGTACAGGCCCACAATAGTGTGTCATTTATCAATTTGACCTACTCAGCCCGGCTTGTGCACGGCTGAACAGTGCGTGCGCGGGAATCTCCTTTTACAGATGATTTGTCTCAAGCTGCCACCATTCTGGGGATGTCGGTGTCATGGATGCCTGCTCGAATTCAGGCAGGCACCCAGTAACGTTCAAGTTATTATGTTTGAGCTACCTGAGTTCTCAGTTTATCACTGCATGAATGAATGGTGTGAATGGGAAGGGCTAGCTAGAATGAAAGTGGGTATGTGCTTTCAGGAAAAGTGCAACAATGGCCCATTTTCAAACAGCGTCGAGGCCATGATTGGCGGGACGTGTTTGGGCGGATGTCACAGCACAAACGTGAATCTCCACGTTTTTGCTTTTGACAAGCTGGCACCCATCCGGCTGGGAAACATAAGAATTCGTCTGAGACAGGTGATGAGATCTGATCCTCTACATCCAGCTTACTGTCCTTGAAATGCGTGTACAGCCCATGCATTTTCGTGAATATCACTAGTTGTGTTGAAAATCCTTAAGAACTGAATGCTTAGAACATGGTAGTGTGGAATTGCAAGTTCCCTGTGCCTGTGAATTGCTCTGCTATTGAATATCGACTAAACGAGATTTTTCTTGAATGGATCAATCTTGTGGCAGTTCTGCATTCTGTTCCGGAGGCTTCTCTTGTGGTGGATTGTGATGGTTCAAAGGCGGTGCTGCTAGCAGGTCGAGTGCAAACCCAAGGCAAACATCGTTTTGAAGGTGAAGACGTATCGGGTGGAGGAAGGTGGTTACATAAAATTCGTCATTCGAAATGTTCCTGGCGACGGCGGCCTAAGATCAGTGGAGCTGAAAGGAGCAAGAGAGGTGAGTGTATCAAACTTCCATCAAATATATTCACTTTTGCGACTTCTGGTGTTGTATTCCCCTTCCTCATTTTATTTTTATTTTTGCATATTCTTTGGGGGGGAAGATGAGTGTGGCTTGATACTTGGCGCACAGCTCAGGGAGGCTGCCGATGAGATGACCTCTTGGCTCATCTGAGCTGACCAATCTCAGCTGACCTGTCATGCTGATCGTTGAACAGAAACAGGCAATGTGCAAACTTGTTTGCCGGAGGATTTGATGTGTTTTGCTTGACTGATGTGCAGATGCAATAGATGCCTGCGTGAGCATTATTTCTGGTTCATGTTCAACGCAATGCTCTCCTCCTGATAGGATGCAGGATTACACGTCAAATGCAGACAATGTTTGCCGACCTATGTTATCAACTAATGATTGTTGCTGTTGGCGCGCATCTCCAAGATGTGCTGAATTACACTTCGTCAACTACATTCTCGGTGCTGTTTGGATCAGGGCAGTCTGACATCATACCATTTGTTATCACCTGTGAAGCTCTGCATGGAGCTGGGATGATTGCAGTAGATGGGGCCAGGACCCAAGACAAGGTACCCGTTCATGGGATTCCCCAAATGGACATTTGTACGTAGAGTTGAGCAAGCCATGCCAATATGTGGTCGCTTTTTCAGGAGGGGCTGCGCAAACAGTAGGAGAGACTCATGTCAGATAAAATTTGAGGCAATTGGCACCGCATTTGCTGCGATACGTGCAGTTCATCTGCGATATGCAGGAATCAAGTCCTGCTCAAACTCAAATATCTGTGTGAGATTTGCTGGTCTTGGACAGTGGGCCGGAACATAGCTTATTCTTGCATGCTTGCTTCCAGAACGGAGGGTGGCGGCTTGCTGACAACCTCTTCGGTGCTGCTTGGGAAGCAAGCGTGCTGCCTGATGCGCCCCTTGACATCCGTCTCACAAACGTGCAAGGGGAGCAGTTGGTTCTCAAGTGAGCTAAGAGGTCTTAAATTGTGACTGGCTCCTTGTCCTGTGATGTATAGCCGTGCGGCACCTGGACCCGAAATGTCATTGCCATTTTAAATTTTGTCTATTGTGAATTCGAATTTGTCGCATTTCGAATTTGTTTCCAGATGCCACGTTGATGTGCTGGACGCACAACCAGGAAGATGTTTTGTATTTCTGTGATGGATATGAGCACAGCCAATGTCGTGTGAGCTTGCTCTATCTGTATCGGCGCTTCTGCCATTCTGTCTCCTTCCGGTGTTGCTCTAATTGACGCTGATGTCGCCTGTAGGAACGTCATCAAAACACCAGGATTCCTGGGAGACATTGTGTCTGATGGGCAGTTCAGCACTGCAGCTCCAGGAAAGACAAGCTCAGGACTGCACCCCCATCCACCGACCCCTCAAGCACAACGGCGATCGCAGCCAGCGCCAGAGCCGCAACCGCTGCACTCGCCATCACCCTCATCTTGGTCTGCTCTACCCTCGTCGAACATCTCATCCATCCGTGTTGGCCCATCTGCAGCTCCTGGGAGTGAGTTCCCCTCGGGCGTGTCCGCCAGTCCTCCAGATGAGGCTGCAAAACCTGTTGCGGGAATCAGCGCCTCCATCATGGAGGCGCTGCGTGGGTTTCTCCTGGGCCCGGCGGAGCTGGCCACGCCAGGAGATGCATCTGCCGGGCACAAGGACGCCAGTGCTGTCACGGTTCTCGAGTTTCCCGTCTTGAGCGGTCGCTAGCCATCTCACAAAGCCTTCGTCCACTATGCGGTGAGTAAGCAGTCACGTTTGATGCCGAAGTCAGTCAACAGGAAAAAAGGGCAAATTAACGGGCCAAACACGTGTTCAAATGTGTACAAAGTTTACGGGTTTGGGGTTTTCGTGTTTTTAGCGCGCAGAGCACTGATGAATTGCATACATGTGCGTTCGCAAAAATTGTTATTTGGTCCTTTTTCTGCTGGTGAAGGCATTTGACTGATGAGTATATGGCCATGCTTGCAGAGTTGGATGTGCCTTTTGACATTGTGTAGACGGGAGGAAACTGATCGGCGTTGCGTCCACATGCAAATGCATGGCCGTTTCCATCGCCATTTTCCAATGAAGAAGACTTATAAGAACGTGCAGATGCGCATCCTGCACATTGCAAAGCATTTTTCTTGCAGAACCAGGGAAATGGTCGGGATGCGTATGATGTACCAGGCGCAGAATTTAGTCGCATTCACTCCATTTCAGTGAAACTGCAGAGTGTTTGCCTCTTGCCTTGTGTTGATAATGGACACAACTGCACACATCCCGGGCAATTGTCGATCACTTTGAGAACGTCAGTGCATTTGTTACCATGTTGGTACATCTGTCGGGGAACTTCTGATGCAGCGCATCGATGCATCTTAAAGCGAAATGGTAACAGCTATCATGTGGTCCACAGTTTCCGGCACATCAAGAATTGAAAGCTGGTTGGTATCTATGTTGCAGCAGTGCTGTTCACTAGCGGGTGTCCCAGCTCCTGGGAAACCGTCGCTGGGCCCACCTACAGCCCCAAAATTTCTAAATAGGGGCATTCAGGTGGATTCGCTAAATGAATTTCATTCACTTGTTTATGTCATAAAATATTCTGCTACCATGTCGACTTTGCAATGCTGCGCTGATGCAGGAAAATCACACTGGGGATGTGAAGTCTGAAAGGCTGGATTCAAGAGCAGGGCATGGTGATATGCATTCACCAAAAGAGTAAAGAAGCTTCTGAACTGGGGTTTGGAGTGGAACAGAATGACCGATGGAGTGTCATTGGCCGTTGCGTGTTGCAGATGTTCCATCCACAGCTAGTTGAAGTTATACAATGATCTTGACTGGTTTTAATATTGGCATGTGGGTTTTGTGAGGCTTGCATGTGGGCACTAAGTAGATGATGATACCACCGCAGCAGGTTGAACCAGAATGCAGTGGCCAGGAAACTGAGAACATGCAAATCCATAGCTGGGGCTCTTCACGACTGCGCTGCTGTGATCTTGCTGATTGAGGATGGCATGTCTTAAACGACTGCAGATGGTTCCTCTCGGAGCTCGAGGTGTGGAATATTGCAAGCGCATGGACGAAAATCTGTGATTGTAGCTGCGCAAGGTCGCTGCAGTTTGTGAGCATTCCCGTGTCTTTTGCACAGAGTGTACTTGGACGCCTGGGGATTGGATATCTGCGAATTGGAACGAAAACGGCATTGGTGTGATTGGAGGCCTGACTCTGCTACTGCATGCTGCATTGTAATTGCACGCATTCGATCTCACAGATTTCGACCGTGGATGAAGTTGTGACACGGAGAAGAGAAATATGGCATCCTCATTGGAAGCACTAGCTGCAGTTTTCAATTGCCCTTCCTGTGATTCATCCGCTCGCTATCTCATTGTACTCCCGATGGATACAGTAACTCCATAAGCAAGAAAAGGCTGGAAATTCTCGATGAATAGTGATGGGATTGATGCACCTCTGGCTTTGCACACCCTGGCCCCTGAGGTGGAATGTTAAACGTCATTAATGAGAATATTCTCCCAATGGGATGGGTCAAGAGGCTGTGGTTGCCGCCATGAGAAACGCGTCGCGGTTTATCGAACACTAGCACCGATAAGCGAATCACCCGTGGGAAGGGTAGCAAGACCAGCTGGTGAATCCCACGCCAGACGTGGCGGGGACGAGGTGAATGGAATCCACTGATGATGAGATTCGATTTTCGTGTTTCTGCAACGTTACGTAACGGCACCGATCATAAGTTGCAGGAACAAAATCAATGAAGGCAAGGGCGCAAGATGGTTGGCACTTGCCAAGTCCCGCCCCATCTTTTAATGCATGAATATCTTGTTTGTTGCCAATCAGGGCTTCCACGCAGAGCAGCAGGCAGATGAGCAAAACTCTATTCAAGATTTTTGAGTCTGCGTTTCTGAGCATGTTGGATGGAAGTGTGCCACTCAGAAAAATGTTAGGACCAAGCGCACGCATTTCGGGGTCGATGTGGTATTACATATTAAAATAAACTGGCGAAAGAAAATGATCACATTGCGAAGGAAGGGAAACGTTCAGCAGCGCGACCCAATGTTTGATTGGGCTGGCAAAATTGGTGGCATGCAACAAGAGGAGTTGCCATTTCACCTTAGAACTAAAGTCAGTGGCGGTTTCTGCCCAATTAAATAGGGAACAAAATATTTTAAAATGTTTTGCCCACAGCCGAACTTCCGAAATTGCATATGAATGGTTTGAATATTTTCATATCGAGGTGGCGTGGATGCGAGAACTGATGAAAACCAGATTCAGATATCATGCAGGCGGCAGTGATGCGCATGCCGAGGAGGCACTACACATTCCTCCAAAGCCCTGGGGGCGTTACAACGGCAGAAGGGCTAGCAAAGCCACAAAATCACTTGGAGATCAGCATTCCAACTTGTATACGAATAGGAATCTACGGAATGTACAAGGCCTGAGCATTTGAGCCAACCAACTTGCGAGAACGCCGTCCTTCACAAATGTCCACGCGCGGAAGAAAGAAAGAAACAGAAGATCGACGACGTTGCCACATGCCGGCAGGTTTGTTGCATAATCGCAACTATTCCTGTCCAATATATCCCAGATTATAAATGTGGTCCAGTACAAGAACAACTCCTGATACCATTGTTGCAGCTCGCGAAACAAAGCACAGGTGCGCGGCGCTGCTGGTCCGATCCTGGCCGTCCCACCACTCCTGTGACCGGCGCTCGCCCCTTTGATCTCATGGCGTCTACCACCACACTTTACAACCACGTCAGCGCAGTTTACACACCCCAGCAACAGCGCCCCCAACTCGCACAGGCCAGCACTGTCCCCGTCAATCATGGCAGCACAGCTTCGGTGTATATCTCGATGAGAAGCTCCCTTGTGAACAGCGACTGCACCCCTATGAGCTCGGCCGAGGGGAAATTCCCGTTGGAGGTCTTGAATGCATTGGTAACCTTCCCGACGATTGGGATGTCTGTGTCGGGATTGTAGTTGGCAATGAAGATCTGCTGGTGCACGATGTCATCCACCGTGGCACCCACCGCCTCCAGGGCTCTCTTCACGTTTGCTATTGCTCCGTCGGCCTGCGAGAAAGTACGAGAAAGGCGTCAAGTGGCTGCTGAGTGGCTGCCAGCGCCACATGTCAGTGCTGGACCAGCACAGAGGGAGCGTGCCTTCCATGCCCGCAGCATTTCTGGAGGCTTGCAACACGTTTGCTGTGCATCATTTAGGCGCAATGGCAGCGTTGTGTTCAGGACACAATTGTTCCGGGCAGATACCAACCACCGCATTCGGTGGCATTTGTCTGGGATTGGGGAAACAGCCTGAAAAGTTCACTGTGGTGCTCTCAATGAATTGCAAAAGAAGCCCAAGGGCGGAGGCACCTTGGCCATCAGCCGCGTGACAACACGGCGCACAATGGCGAAATGGTTTCGTGGGGACTGCAAGGGTGTTATGATGTACAGTTTCTAACGCATGCATGCCTCGAAATCTTAACAAAATTGAGACGAGTGAGCAGGCAAGCGGCCAGCAGCCGCCCTCCAGAAAAGCAGCGATAGCCTCTCCGCGTGCGCCGCTCCCATCGGCCACGCGCCACGCTGGTGCCCGGCGCCTCACCTGCTCGTCAAGAGTCCTGCCGAGGACGTTGGGAACCGTGTCCTGGCTCGTCTGGCCCGAAATCCATATTTTCTTCCTCACGTTGGCTGAAGAGAAAGGATCATACCATCAGGGCAAGATTGAGCGCGTTTCGGTCTCCGAAAGTACCCGATGGTCACCTTGATGCACAGCTCAGAGGACACCAAAGGGGGCCAGGGACATGTTGCGCCACGTGTGATTGGTGCAAGGGCGCAGAGCAGGTGTCGGATTTCCGGTGCACTCACTAGCCGTCACTATTTGCGCGAAGCCGAAGTCGGTTCCGTTGAAAAGGGATGGCGGGTTGATGTGCTCGATCTCGGCTGACGCGGGACACGCTCCGTCGCAGGTGTCGCTCGCCACCACCGCGGCGAAGATGGCGATGGCCAGTACTTGGACGAGGCGCGCCGCCGACATTGGGATCGGCGATGGCTGGGCGCGGCGGAGCAGCACTTCCCGTGCCGTTTCGTCTCGAGGTGCTGGACGCAAGGGCAAGGGTAAGGGCAAGGGTTAGGCAAGGGAGGGAAGCGCCGTGGCTTCCTTTGTAGGCGCTTGTGGGGTGACGTGCTACGAAAGTAACAGTTGACGCGCGAGTGACGTCGTCTAGAACATGCGGAGTCACTCCTATACCATCGGATGTGCGACCAGATGGGCGCGCTGGCAGGAAGCCACGCCCCAAACACAGCAGCAGCCCGTCACACAGTAATGGCGTCGTTGTGGTGATCTGTGGGAACCGGCAAGCTGTAAGGGAAGATGCTGTGTCGAAATTGTTACGCTTAGCGTCAATTTGACGCTAAGAGGGGGTGGGTTGGGGTGTGTGGGGGGTCCAGACCTGTGACGCTAAGATAATATGTATATGCAACAAAATCGACATAAGCTTGGAAGATACCCAAAAAGCTGCCGAAAAGTGGCAATAAACCTATGACTTGTCTCAAATTTGAGAGTTTCAAAACTTCCCTTTGACGTTCAGTCTTCACAAAAGGGCCCATAAAATCTCGATTGGCGGCCTTCACAACTGCCGCCCATCACCTGCTATGCACAGCCATATGGCATTTGGCATCTCAACTTTCAGCCCACTAAGATTGCAGCGGTTTTGGCTGTTTTTCTTTCTTCAAAGCATAATAAATTGGCACCACACCATTATGTTATGATGCTGGTCATCCTGGCTTCGACAGAAGGATTGACGCTAAGGAGGGGGTTGGGGTGTGTGGGGGGTAAGATTTGTTACAGAAGAGAAAGAGAAACAGGTCATACAAAGGGCCATCCCGCCTAGGCAAGTTTATGTGAGGCTTTTTTCCATGCTATGAAAAGTTGATATAGAGCTTCCGAAGCAGATATGAGCACACAACACAAGCAAGTCGTAGGCAAGAAAAAATGCATTTTGGGGGCACCCGGGGGGGTGGAAGGGGTGGGGGGGTGAGCTTAACATCAAATTGAGGCTAAGCGTAGCAAAATCGACATAGCGTCTTCCCTAAGGACAGTGGCCTGCGTGATGCATTGGGGAATTGAGACAAGGCACCATGACGATAAGGGGCGGGAATGGATGGCAGCATTTTTCTTTTGATAACCAGGAACCACCCGACAGCTAATCCATCCGCTGCTGCCCCACATTGCCTGTAATACAGTAAGACTCTCCTCCCCCAAGGGCAAACTTGCAAAAGTAAGCTCCAAGCGACGAAAGACACCGTTTCAGCATCAACCCCAAGATGCAGATCTATAAATTGCCACAGAGACCTGTTGGAAGGGAAGAATGGCATGCATTCGAACAGGAACGACAGACAAGTGCTGGTCCTTTTAAGCCAATGGCGCTTGCGCTGTACTATGCGCCACGAGCGGCAAGCAGATAGATGTGTCAGAGATCTTGCCCAGCGCGGCTGTTTCGGAGCTTGGTTCAAAGCCACCATATTCCCAATTTAATATAGCACGACAGTTGTCATGTTTTAAGTTATCCATGGTTGTTTGAAGCAGACCGTCATTATCGTTTATGAGTTTGACCCTGGCAATTATAGTGTTGGATGCCGATGACGGCTTTGGATAATGGCTTTTGCTGAACATCATATTGAAGTTGCAAACGGCCAGAGTTCTGTGCTCCTCAAAGAGCGCATCATGTCCAGTACGTTCATTTGCAAATGCCGCGGCGCCCGGGGAATGGCTTTGCTCCACATTTCACCATGGGAGCTGCGCAAACATACTTCCGGGAACACAAATGCTGTACCAATAAGGCGGCATCACACCCCTCGCAGTAAGCACGCCGCATTTGGCAATTTGTCTCCAATGGTCGTGTTCCGGTTGCCGCCGCCCGCGAAACTTGCAGATGTCGTTCAAATCGCGCAGCAACGTGAACTCATTCCCCATGCGCATGCCCACACATATTATCCGACATGGAATTTCCCACCGGAATCTTCAGAGCGGTTTTATTGTCTTGATGGGGCAGTGGAGTTAGGATATAACACTCTCCTAAGCCATTTTCGCGCAATGCAACGTGTTTTGTGTCAAGCGGTCAATGGAGACGCTTATTCGTTTGCCTGGATGCAAGTGCCCAAGCAGATTATTTTGTTGTGCAACCTGCCTTGTGGGATCTTAAGCGGGCATCATTGATGAAGGCAAATATGCAAAGTAATGTCCCCACGCTCCTCTCTTCAGTGTATGGTGTGAATTCACGGATACAAGCAAGCTTGGTTTTTACGTTTGCGTTTACGTTTTTGCTTTTATGTTTTTTTACGCGTAAAAAACATAAATTTGCAAAAGGGCCTATTTTTATGGCTATTTTTACGTTTTTGCGGCTACCTGGCAGTCGTAGATTACACGACAAAAGTTTCGTACAATGATCAGTCCTCCGCCATCTCCAGCACCCGCAACACAATATCCGTCTCGCCCTTGGCAAGGGCGATATTGGCGTTTAACAAAAGCTCATCTTCTGCCTCTTCCAAGGCGTCTGGATGCCACTCTCCGGTCTCTGTAAATCTGTATGTACTGCCCTTATGTACACCAGGCAGTTTTTACGTTGTATTTACGTATTTTTACGCATTTTTTCGCGCAAAAACGTAAAAACTATTTTTACGCGCAAAAACGTAAATACGATCAGTTTTTACGGCGTAAAAACCAAACCTGGATACAAGCAAACATTTGCATGCAAATGCATGTCCTCTTCACCAGTCTCCATGTGAGTACCCCTTGTCGGCGATCTCCTGAATCAAGGGTTTTCGACGCATCAGACGGTGAATCGCTGCGTTCCATCATGTGCTTCATGCTTTGGAGAACTGCTCTACTTGGGGACTCCCAATTTTCTTGCTTTGCTGGCACAGTACAACACCACTAGGGGTGCGAACTGCTGCCAAATTTTCGGGGCGGTAAGCAAAATCCCTGAAAAAGGGCTCTTTTAAGTGCGAGATACAGACGAAGGGTGTGGTCACCACTCTGTGGTGATATTCTATCGTCAAGGGAGGAAAGGATTTCCGCAATAGGGATATGGAGCACCACACAATGACTCAAGAAGTTTCCATCGGCGCTACGCGTTGCAGATGTTCTGTCCGCTGGCAGGTTGGGCTATTGATCAATGGCCTCTGCGATCGCACAGAGTTCAACTGTGCATGAGCAATGCTGCAAATAGACACGAGGCACATAATACACATCGGAAACAAGTACTGCAAGGTTTTCGTGGCTCTCCCAATGGTTCACCCATCCACCAGAATGTCATATCCCCATGGATGACGCAAGAAGCACACACTGAAGCAATTCTACAGTAGCTGGAGACTCGCGATGAGAAGCGCTGAGTTGGAGGCATTCAAGACCATTCCTCACATTCCTACATGGGCGACAAAAAAGCCACCCACCCCTGATGCTATAGTCGCAGTTCCCGAAACCAGGCACAGCGTCGCTAGTGTTGCTCGTCCGAACAAACTTGTGCCATCACTTCAGTGACTGATATTTCCCCCTCTGGTCTCATAAGCAACCACCACACTACCGTACAACCTGCGTTTGCGCAACACCAAAAACGGCAGAAACGGTGCCAAACTCTGGGCAGTCCACCACTGCCCCCGTTCATTACGGCAGCACAGCCACGGCGTTTATCTCGATAAGGAGCTCCCTGGAGAAGAGTGACTGCACCCCTATAAGCTCGGCGGAGGGGAACGTCCCGTTGGAGCCTTCGAACGCCTTCGTAACCTTTGCAACAGTTGGGATGTCTGTATCGGGGTTGTAGTTGGCGATAAAGACCTGAATATGCACGATGTTGTCCACCGTGGCACCCACCGCCTCAAGTGCCTTCTTCACGTTTGCAGTTGTTGTGTCGGCCTGCGAGAAAGTAGGAGACGGGTGTCAAGTGCTTACGAGGCCCCGCCAGTGCAATGCTGCGCTGCTGCTTCATCACACACGGTCATATTACCTACACCCGCGGCACTTGTGGAGGCTAGCAACACGTTTGTTGTGCGCGATTAAGGCGCAATGGCTGCGTTTTGTGCGGGGCACAGAATGTAATCCAAGTAGAATGCACCAGCACATACACTGCCATTGGTTTGGGGATTTGGGGAAGGGACTGGAGACTTTCGGTGTTGTGATGGGAACACTGAATGGTAAAAGCGCAATCCACGGCGAAGAAACTTCCGCAGGCAGCCGAATGAGAGCACGGCTCGCAATGGCTGAATAGATTTGTGGGGACTGCCCCGCAGTTACGTAAAATGCACAGCGAAACCTCTAATGCACACACCGCTACCTCTGCTGTGTACATTACATAACTGCTTGGTCATCCGCCTTCTGTGAGGCGGTGATCAGCCACCTACTCGACAAGCAGAGACCGTCTCCCCGCGTGCACGGCTCTGCCGTCGGCGGCACGCCGCTCTGAAGCCTAGGCCTTGTCGGCTCACCTGCTCTTCCAGAGTTGTGCCGACGACGTTGCCACCCGTGTCCTGGCTCGTCTGGCCCGAAATCCAGACCGTCTTCTTCACATTGGCTGACGGGAAAGGAGCACTCCGTCAGCGCAAGGCAGAGCATGATTCGGGCTTCCAAAGTCCCCCACGGCCACAGTGATGCATGGCGCGGACGACACCAGAAAGAGGCGCGAACGCGTACCACCAAGCCCGATCAGAGCAAGGGAGCAGAGCATGCATCGGCAATACCCCACACTCACCGGCCGTCACTACTTGCGTGTAGCCGAGTTCGGTTGCGTTCAAAAGCGAAGGGGGGTTGATATACTCGATGTCGGCCGGCGCGGCGCCTTCGGCGGGAGTGATCTCGCCGGTCGCCCTCGCGGCGCAGATGGCGACGGCCAGCAGCAGGACGAGGTGCGCCATCGATATCGCGGATGGGCGGCGGCTTGGAGTTTTCAGCTGGGCGCGGCGGGGCTGCATTTCCGACGCTGTCTTCGCTGCAACGACGCAAGGGTTTGAGCGGAGGGGAGGGCCTGCGACCGCCTTTGTAGGAGCGCAAGTGGGGCAGGTGACGTAGCAAAACGACTGCATTAGTCACAACACGCTCGAGTGACGTGGGGTGAAGTATGCGAAAACAGTCAACATCGTAAGGGGCGCGAAAGAATGAAGGCAGTTGGCGGGGAGGAACACTCAGTACACTGCAGCAACCCGTCAGACAGGGACTTCGCCGGTGTGATGAACCATCAGCGGTGGCGCCCTATCTTGGGCGGCCGTGTAAGGTATTCGAGAGATTGAGTCAGTGCCCCGTGGCGATGAGGCAACTGCAGGAGAGGGGGCGCGGGAGTGGGTGGCAGCATTTCTTCGGACAAAGTAAGCAGCACGCCAACATGTAGTCCACTTGTTGCACAACATTTCCCAAATACAGCAAGGCTTTCCGGCAGAGCTAACCTGCAAAAGCGGGCTGCAAATATGCAGCTGCAAGGCAACGAGAGACACCACTTCAGCATCGACACCATGGTGCAGATGTGTAAAGTGCGAAAAGGCCGTAGTTGGAAGGTAAGAAGGACATATACTCGAAACAACGAAGCCACGCAAGCTCCGAGGCGGTTGATTTCAAACACGCGCCTCGACCGGCATGCAGATAGGGCGGTCAGAGATCTGGGCCAGGGCAACTGTTTCGGACCTTCGATCCATGGCACGTGGTCACATTTGAGTACAACCAGACAAATTGCAACGGTTAAAGTAGGGCTTGGTGAGCGAGGTAGGGTGTCATTTGCGTTTGTGTTTTGACCAATACAGTCATTGTATTGGATATGGACTGTTGAAATGGAGTATTGCTTCTATTTGAATGTCATATTCAAATTGCAACTGGCCAATGCCCTGTACTCCCAAAAGGCACATGAACTCTGAGAATAATCGCTCGCAAGTTCCGTGGAATCTACAAGGGGGGGCCAGAGGTTTGCTCCACACTCCATCGCGGACGCCGCCCGCGCACATGATCAAGGAAACCTGTGCTGTGCCAGCAAAACGGAAGTGTATACCCGGCACTCATGACGCCGCGTACAGCAGTAGAGTCGCAGCAGTGATGGCCTCCAAATGATCGCGTTCCCGAATGCTGCTGCTGGTGTAAATGATTGATTTCGCTCAAAGCTCAATGCCTTGTTCAAAGTTCAGTGCATCGGTGCAACGCTACGGCCACGACAGTGAACAATCAATGGCAGCTACCTTGCACCGGCCTTCTGGCTCGGCAGCGCAGAGCGAGTTCGGTGGCGCCCAGGATCGAAGGCGTTGTCCACATTGTGCAGTTGTCCACAAAAATTTCAACAGCATGGAGTAGACATGCTGCAAGCATTTCATCTCTTCCACTTGGAAGCTTTGAGAGTTTCCCAATTATTGCAGATTTCCAGCAAATAAACATTTACCATAGCTATATGATTGGGTCTGCTGTTACCCAGTGCGGACAAAAGCATCTGAGAAGCAATCATGTGGTGATGTTACCAGCGCCTGGCATCATATTACAGACGCAAGAGTAGTGGTTCGTTTCTTTTTCAAGAGCAGCTGTGGTGCATTCGCAATGAGTGCCAGGGCAGCAATCACCATCACTGATTTTTCGCGCTTTCATGCGTCAGTGGTGAAACTCCAGGAAATGTTCTGATAGCTACTGCTCGACAGGTCCTGGGGCATTGGCGTACAGTGTTTGTCTGGTTTTTGGCCCAAAAATTGTTCAGGTATATGATGCCGCATGTAACATCATGACCCGCTGTCAGTCTGCACCTCCGGTGCGCATATTTCAGAGAACTGGCTATTTCCCCTGGGCACACCGACAATGCGCTGCTTTTTTATGATGATTTCACCAAGTGCGTTTGTACCCGTGGCGGAGGGTGCCCATCGTGCGCACATGCTGTGCATCATTGCTGATGAAGTGCATACAATATGCAGACTTTGCTACACCGCAATTGACACGTTCTCGAATCCATGAGACAGCAAACGTTCGGCCTTCACGCAGCGCCTCAACTAATTGGTTGAGTTGAATGCTTATAAGCATTCATTGGTCAACACACAATGAACCTAGGGTGACGATTTCAAGTCCTGAGAAATATCGTTAGGTGAAAATACGATTTCTTGCATGAAGATACAAGCAGCAGAAGACCAAAGAATCGCTACCTCGCAGCCAGCAGATTTAAAAACTCGCGTGTGCTCACCAGGAAGGGGAACATGCAATGACCTTCAATGCGTCTTCCAACCCAGAAAGCGTTTCACGAACTACAGCAGGCACAGACACCCATTCATACACACCCACGCGTCAGGAACCGGAGAATTGGCCTGTGAGTCCATCTCAACATTAAAAAGCAGTCGATCGAGCAAACAGCGCTTCCGCATCTCCCACAAAGCGGCTGTGTCTGGATGCACAAGACTAGGCATCGCAAGCAATGCAGAATTCCGAACCCACACGGTCCGGCCAATCTCCTGACGCCAAATTCGAAGGTGGCAGACTTGGCCGCCCTCATGTCAGTCAGGGCAATACAGCCACACCCGATATTTCAATGCGGTACTCTCTAAGTCCCAATGACTGAACTCCGATCAGCTCGGCAGCTGGACTTCCTCCCCTGGAGCTTGCGAGGCTTCTGCCAGCCTTGAGAACAGCGGGGAAATCGGTGTCGGGGTCGTACTGGGCGATGAAATACTGGACATGTACAAGGTTGTCCACTGAGGCCCCCACTGCCTCAAGCGCCTTCTTGACGTTGTCGGCAGCCACATCAACCTGGGCGAAAGAGGAAACAGATAGCGAGCGTCGCGATTCCGCAAAGACCGACAGCCCGCCACAGAACGCGAATCCACGCCACGTCGCCGTGCGTACAGCACATCACCGTATGGGCGCGGCAATCCGGTTTACATGTACGGCGGTGTGTACGGTGTTGAACAGGATGTGATCCAGGAAGAGCAGCCACCGAGTTGCCCGTGGCGGTCACCCCCTGAAACGTCTCACCGAGTCGCGCCCGCCGTCCGGCTCACCTGCTCGTCAAGCGTCGTGCCAATGACGGTGTTGTTCTTGTCGGAAGCCGTCTGACCGGCGATCCACACCATCGTCCTCGAGTTTGCTGCCAGGATCGGGCCACGCGCAACCCTTCGTCAGCTCTTGAGTTCCCAAACTCCTCCGCACTGCGGCTGGTTTACTTCCAGCAGGACGAGCCGAAACTCATGTGTCCATGCGACAGTCCAATCAGCTGCGGCGACGGACCCCCGCGAGCAGCCGTCGACCAACCGTGCGCCAGCTCACCCACCCGCAGTCACAACTTGGCTAAACCCGAAGTCGGAAGGATCCAGAAGTGTCGGAGGGTTGACATAGGTGATGTCGGCCGGTGCGGCGCATGCAGAAGGACATTGGACCTCTGTTGCCAGCACCGGCGCCGCCACGAGCGCCACCAACAGCAGCGCGACGATCACCATTTTCACCGATGGCGAAAGCATCGACAGACAGGAAGGCACTAACAGCGCCACTTTGAGGTCAGCGGCGGTGGAGGGGTCGCGCCCGTCGCGCCCAACAGCGGCAACCAGTTCGTGCTCGCGAGCTGCCAAAACCGCAACACTTTTAACACCCCCCCGATAGTCGCCCACGGTGCGTCAAAGAGCATGTCATTCTCATGTCACTTGAATGTGCTGTTGCCCGCACATGACCCGTGATTACCATGGGAGGCAATGACTTTGATCCGCCGTTTCCCACCCTGTGAGCTTGTTAGTTGCGCCCCTTGCCGCGGGAAGCGTGCGATTCCGGCGCCCCCGCCCCGGCCTGTCATCCGCCGTTCGCGGATCCTGTTCGCGCGGCCGCACTTCCGTCCGTGGCAACGGGACGGCATCAATCGCTGGTCGCAGGGGCAGGGCCCAAGTTCACCAAGATCAGTCTGGCACATGCTCAAAGCCCCCAGGACATTCGACCCTGGTGTCGCGTACAAAAAGCCGGCGATGATTACTACCTCACAACATCAACGGTACGAGAAAGATTTTTGAGCATGACAATCGACTCGTTTCTCGGATCAGCTGATTTGGAGGACTTGACTCGTGACATGGTTTTCGTGTTCGCGATTCTGGTCGACCAGCCGGAAACAAGTCCCGGCGCTGTTTTCTTCAGGCGCCAAGAGTAGCAAGCACAACGTACCCATGGGCACTGTGCACGCGCCAGTCGCAGGAGCACTGTGGGTGCAAGTGAATTGTCGTTGGCAGGCATCAATGGCTTGCTGGGGGTGGGGTGGGTTGCAGGGGCAATCCCCACCCCATTGCCGGTCCAAAAGTGCTGCTCTGCTCCAACAATGAGAAGTCCACGAAGCAGTGGCTAGCAATCACCTGGGTGATACTGGTGTCTTATTCGCGGCCTGCAGCCAATGATCATCTCTAACTGATCCACTGCCAGCCAAGAATGGGAGCAAGTAGCCAAGACAGTAGTCTTGGAGAATTGAAACAAGCTCTCAAAATTTCAAAGAATCATATTCTGGTCTGGCAACAGGACGGCACCAAAAGGGTTGGGACAAACCACGAATTTTATACTGCACGAGGACCACAAAGTTGCCAAGTGGCAAAGCAACAAGGCATACAACTTACAACTGATCTAAAATCCCATTCCTCCCATTATATGTACAGCTTTCCTTTAGGCTTGTTGGCCATAGAGTTTGGCAACCCAGAGCGCTCCTCAAAATACAGCTGAGACGCTCATGAAGTGGCACTATCACACATCCTGTGGTGATACGTTGGGGGCACCACAAGATCTCTTGCACTTTGCTCGCTGGCCTTCTAGCCTTTGGGGTCAGTTGTCGAAATTGGAATATACACCAAAATCTCTTGCAACCCTCTTCTCCTCTTCAACGAAATTCTTTCCTCCTTTCGCTTGGCCTGCGTCTCGCTTCCGTTTCTCCTGCAGGCAGATCCATGATATTCAGCAATCTGTCGCCATGCTGTCTATTGCACATGCACCTGAAGTTGGCCTCCATTCACAAGAGACAACAGCGTCCTGTTGCTTATTTCGACAACCTATCTAATTTCATCTCATCAGAAAAGAATTGACCTTTGCATGTGAATGCAAGCCCATGATGACACACTGCAAAGGATATGATTGTGACCAGCTCTGCAACCTTTTGCTTGAAAGTCAGCCTTCCTTCCTTTGCCATTTTAATTTGCTCGGCCTTTTTCTCTTCCCTCAGCTTCTCTGTCAATGCCATCCTCTTTTTCACAAACTTTGCAGACTCTGCAACTCCAACTGTTGCAGCTGCTCGGGTTCGTTCGCGCTCCTGCAAGCAAAATGCAGATTCTGGCATTGACTATGGACTACCAGCAATCGTTCCATGAAAGGAGCTGTTCAAGAAGCAAGTTTCTGGCGATTCCTCGGCCAGGAATGTTGCAGACCTCACCACTAGTTCAGCTGAAAATGCAGTACTGCGCAGGAAACATTACACAGCTAAGGTGAGTGTTCCCAGCACTCACCTCCCATGTTTCCTCCTCGCTTTCCTTCAATTTATGCTCACGGCCATCAGACCTGCAAACAATAATTTGGCACCAATCGGTATCCATGACAGCACAATGGCACCTTGAGAATTGGCATTATCCACACTTTCCCTGGGCAAGCTTGTTAGAAATTCAGGTAATGACAACAACAGATCCTTGCATGCCAAATGTCTTCTGCCAAAGAATGAAATGGATCGTCACCTACAGTCCCTTGTTGATATTGTGGATTACAACAATGTGCTCTCCTGCCCTCAACTGAAAGCGTGGTCTAAGGGACAAACAAATCCACTTCATTCCGAAGGCTATGCTTGGTCGCAGTCGCACATCAATCTGTTGTGATGTGTTCAGCCTCTATTGGCCCTCTTTGCTTTAGCACAAGGATCAAGCAGTGCAGAGAGCCAGTGCATCTAACCACACAATCAGAAACACGCAGTCGACAGCAGATCTGTGGAACGTGGTGTAACATTTGGGATAGAAACAACGCACAAATCACGGCACGGTGCAATACCAAAACAACGCCCCATGTACTGTGGCCTGTGGGGTCTCTGCCATCTCAACCACTTGAGATCAGCACTGCAGAGTAAGGCCAGCGCAGTAAAATCTCTCCAGTCAGGCAAGCAGGCACACCTCTATGTGAATGCTAGCAATCGAACTGTGCCAGTCTCTCACACTTGTAATTCAATCTCATCAGCTTGGCATGGCTCGGGCACAAAGAGCACCGAGGGTCCGCCCTTGTATCCACAGTTGTGCAGGTCCTCCAGAGTGACATCAGGCTTCTTGCGTTTGGCCTCTGGCTCAGGGGAGCCTTCGTCTTCGGAGCTGTCGCTCCCAGAGAGCTCTCCCAGCGCGTCCATGTACCTCCTGGAGCAGCAGGAAACACCCTTCTTGAGTCACACGTGGGAGCACAAGAACACGCGACCTCATCTTCAATCACCTAGATTGGGGCCAAAGAAGCCCGGGCACGAGGCGCAAGGAGCGCCCCAACGCGCTGCACTGTCCACGTGTAGTTGCTTTCCAGAGGCACGGACAGAGACTCATGGCTCTGCGCCACGGCGCAGGGCAACATCTTCATCCATGTTCCGCTGCGTCAAAACTCCAAAGCAAGGGCATAACTCGCAGGGAACACAAAGGGAGAATAAAGTGCACCAGCGCACATAGCCATAAGCAAACCCGCCCTCACTTCTGTTTCGGCATTTTTGTCCGTCCCGGGAGGAGCCAGTGCTGGCGGGCGCAAACAACGGCCAAGGTGCAGGATAAGGTGCTCGTTCTCCTGGGCACCCCCCTTTGCGGGCAGGGGCGTATTTTCTGCCTGGGTGGGGAACTCCCGTACGCGCTGAACACTCCAGCGCTGGGGCGCCGCAACGAGCACTGGCTGTGGAGCACTTGCTGCTTAGTACATTGCTCATATATGCGTCTCAAAGTACTGTGCTTGAACTCTCAAAACAGTGGTACCCTCCTCACGGGACGCAGCCTCTGGCTTAGCGGCGACGAGGTTGCGTGGGAGGTGAGGCGGACGAAGGTGTCAAGTTGGTGGCGATCGACACAGGTGGATTGAGGCGACAGAGGCCGTCACCAACATTCTGAAGCGCCAGTTGGTAAGCTATCGGGGACCTGGGCAACTCAGAAGTTTCGCCGGGGGCATTTGTTCCTCCACAGTCGCTGCTTGTAGCTCACACCGATTGCCATCTTCACCCTCGTTTATTGCTGGATTGTTAGCCTTGCTGCAGGCGTGACCTCGCAGCCGGGCGATTGCACTTGTCCAAATCTGAGGCATTGCCGATGTCAGTGAGCTGTAGATTATTCAGAACCGGTGGTGTCTATCAGAGAGGACATGGCAAGGACGTAGAACGCCATCAGAAGGGCCACAGGCATCTACATTGTGGCCTGGAGGATGTTCTGCCATTGGTGTCGAATTCTCGCTTGTCTGTGTCTTTGCAGCTCCGCAGCTCGCCCCTGCTGCTGACGATCTCCACTTCCTCTCACTTCTGTGTTGTGTATCCGCTTGCAGAGTTTCAGTTGCGCCAATTCGTACAGGGGTCACTGTGCAGGCTTGCCATGTCGGGCAAAGTTCCAAATGCCGAAGTCTGGTGTGTGCTGGATGAGTTGGAGGAAGAAGAGAATGCGCCAATCCAAGCAATAGGGAATGTGTGTGCTGGAGCATGATTCAACTGGTGATGCTGTATGGGGTCGTTGTCTTTTTGGCGTGGTCCTTCTGAGACAAGAGTGGCGAGGTGTGCCACCCTGTTTCTGTGCAGCCCTTGCTGGAATTTGAGGAATGGGATTGAGAGTTCCTTTGAGGATTGTGATGATGTGTGCGTTCCTGAACCCTGCCGCTTGGAGAGTTGGACATCAGATCAGAGAATGTGTGGAGACAACTGGCTGAGCTTGGTTGAACTTGGAAGAACGCACTGACAGTTTTTGCTGACGTTATTGAGGACACAGCTGTGGGCTATGGGATGCAGCAGTCCCTGTAATGCTGGGATGACCTGTTTGACATTCCTGACCATTTGATGTGCCAAATGTATCTTGGGTAGTTGTTTAGTGTCACCAGCACTCTTGTGGGGCACTGGCTGTTGCCTTGGCACTGCAAGATTGCCAGTGTGAGATTCTGGCTGAAGCTAAGAGTCTTGTCCATCTGTCCTCATTGTCATGGCAGGCCATGTTGACATCATCCGTGGCACAGGCGTTAGTGCTAAATTGGCCATTGACTCGATTTTGGCTACTCGTTGCAGTGCCGCCGAACCAGCAAGATATTCTGCACACTCTACTTGTGCATCTCTAGCTGCCCCAGAATTCGCAGTTGGGAGGATAGCCAGGTGTATTTGGCGCTGAGGTTTGGCTAATTCGAATGCCCAGATGAACAGTGACAACAGCAATGCCCAGAATATTTATAGCTGGTTTGGACGAAAAGTAAGGTACTGCCTTCTTACACTTCCACCCGATATTTTGCTGAAGTGGCCAAAGCTAAGATGCTGGGTTTTGGTTACATGTGTTGATGCACAGTGCTGTAATCACCATCGCCTGGCTTACCACTGGACAGTGGATGGTGGGCCCCATGCTGGGGCACACATTTGTTGGTGCACAGGGGCAAATTTGGTTTCAGGCGCCCTGATCCACAATCTGCTAGGTTAGGACTATTATGCCAGGATGTGGCAGAAATGGCGTGCTTCCCTGGTGGGGAAATTGCACCGATTCCCCTCTTGGTGGGGAACTCTGCGTTCCTTTTGGAGAAGGAAAGCATGTCTTTTTCAAGGGAACGAGCGACGATCGTGGTGGCATGCTGCACTTTGGGCACCCAGAGCCAGGTGATTTTATGGGCTTTGCTTTGTCATTGGGTATGCATGCCACCCCCAAACAGACCTGACGGGTGTGAAACGCAGCAGCTTAGCCTCCTTGGAGCTCAACTCCCTCCAAAATGCTGTTGCTACAGTGGTGTGTTACGAGGGGCAGAGTGATTGCGCCAACAAGAGCGGCTGCAGTAAGTGGGGGCTGGGTTTTCCACATCAATCCATTGCACTTTTCCTGTGCTGTTGGGAATCGGGCAACCTGAAGCATTTTTCGAATTCATACACACCGGGCAGATCGATTTGCAGAATGCAGCGCGCCGTCAATGCAAGTTGGATCGTAGCAAATAACCAGAATTACATCGCACTTTGAAGGCTAGTTTTGCTTTAGGAAGTCAGTTCCTCATCACGCACAAGGACCTTGTGAGCTGGCTCGTGATGTTGCTGAGAGTTTTAAGAATTTGTTCACTCAAGAGTCAAGTGAGAATGGCCTAAACGGCACAGCAATTGCAATTAAAGTCATTCATGAAAACACTAGTGGTGAGAATCGTAGCTATCCTATGCTACTGCACAGCTATCCCTTTGGCGTCTTCAATTAGAACTTGGGAACTACCAAATGCCACATTTCACCTGAATCCCTCTTTGCCATTCTCATGGCAAGTGTTCATCAAAGATGTCAGGAGAATGATAAAGTGGGAATCTGGTGACATGGCAAGGGCGAGGACGGGAGTCTTCCGATTTTAGATATTCTCCCCAATTACGTTCAACAATCCCGAACCAAGCAACGTTCCCATGTTCTTTATCCCTGTTGAAATTACTAAGCGTTCATTACTGCAGGATGAGCCTGTGACCAGAATGGCAGCAGTCATGCAGCGCGTAGTTATATTAGATTGGACGGAACACCGATTGCTTCCTCTGCACCTCACACGAGCTTGCGTTGAATTGGCCAAAAGTGTACACGCGGTGACAATTGGAGGGCGCACACTTCTGGTGACAATGACGGGTGTCCGCATGAAGCCAACGGCTCTCGCTTTCTGCCAGGCACGCCGTTTGGCATTCGGCGGTGGCTCCCACCGAGGGACACTGGGCGTGCGTCATTCGCCAACTGACGCGCTTTCAAATCCGTGTCGCTTCGCCGCACGTCGGGGTGCCCGCCGCCCGCGCCAGATATAAAAGGGCGCCCGCCGGGCCTGCCAGGCGAACAGCAGCAGTCCGCAACCAGTCCGAACAGCGACCAGCGAACAGCATCCAGACCGATCAGCAGCCAGACCGATCAGCAGCCAGGCCGAGTAGCGACCGCTTTCCTCTTTTCTTCTTTGAGGATCGATGGAGCGATCGAGACGGCTGGGAGCCGCGATGGCGGTATCCGGCGAGGCCAGATCGGCGGAGGGGCAGCTTCGATCATCCGCACAACCGCAGCCGGAGGCGTCGGAGGCGCGACGAGCATCAGGACAGGCGGAGGACGTCGGACAGAAGAGGGGGCGGCCGGGAGCGAGCGGCAATGGATCTGCGGCGGAGGGGGATTCCACCCGAAGCGTCCGGCGCCGCTTCGACGAGGGGCCTCAGGTGAACGCGCCGTCGGCGGGGGCTGTCCCGCCGGGGCGCGCCACGGCACGCAGGGGCCGCAGGGCCCACCCCATTAACAGGCGCCTGTGTCCCGACGCCGCCACGATGCGCGAAATTTGGCGGAGCCTTGCTCAGCCGCAGCGGCGGCGCAAGAGGGGTGCCTCTGCGACGGACGCTGAGGCGGGCGGCAGCAGCGCCAGCCGACGGAGGCTGGACGAGGGAGGGGCGTGGGCGGGGGTCGACGATCCGCACGCGACGGGATCCGCGGGGGGGCCCAGCGGCGAGGGCACGAGCACCGACGTCCGCGGGACGTCCGTCAGTCGATCGCGGCGCGTCGTCAGAAGGAGCGGGGCGCAGCGCGGCGCTGGGGATGGGCCTGAGGAGGGACCTGCCGCGGCGGGTGAGGCGTCCACGCCCATGGCGGAGTGTCCCATCTGCCGCGATGAGAAGCCGGCCAGCGAGTTCGTGGCCTGCTGCGGGGGCGGGCACGAGACCTGCCAGGCGTGCGTGCGCCAATTCGTCGAGACCGCCATTGGCGATTTCTCGTCGCCCGTGCCCATTCGCGTGCGCTGCGTTGCGGTCCACGAGTGCCAGATGTGCTACACGCGACAGGACCTCGCCCGCTCTCTCGGCGACGACGTCACGCAGCGCTACAACGCCGCCATGGACGCCATGTACCGCGACGACCCCGCCATGGCGTACTGCCCGTGCGGCATCTGGAACAGGGCGCCGCAAGGCAGCGCCCGCCGCACCGTGATGTGCTCCGCCTGCGGCAGGCATTGCCCGCTGCCACCACCCGTGCGTCAGGAGCCCGCGCAGGCAGCCCCGAGCGCAGACCACGCCGGCGACGAGATCGCCAGCCGCGCCGTCATCCGCAAGTGCCCCGGCTGCAGGAGGCCCTTCATCAAGGACCTGACGCAGCACCACAGGTGCAACGATATGTTCTGCGGCTTCTGCCGCATCCACTGGTGCTACGTGTGCGAGGCGAAGCTGGGCAACAGCGACGACCACTTCTGGGAGGACGTCGGCCACTGGTGCAACTGTCCGGGGCGCCGCTCCGTGGAGGGTGCGGGTAAGTGCCGGTCGTGCGGCAGGTGCTTCGTGCACTACTCCAACGACAACGTGGCCGACAACCGTAGGATCCAGCAGGCCAAGGGCGGGCAGGAGGAGGAGGGCGTCAGCCAGCCTCCACCGAGGAGGCAGCACTGGGAGGCAGTCCGCGGAAGCCGTCTGGGAATGCGGTGCTTCATTAGGTGAATCTTCGTCCTCGCGGGCTGATGTTGTGGGGAGCCGCAGCAGCGCACTTCATGTCAGCGGCCGAACTGTAACATAGTCACGCGCGAC